CTTGAGAGAAAGCCGGGTGAGGTGTAGAGGGAGGGTTGCCTCTATTGCCCTCTTTCTCCCATTACTTGAGAAATTCAGCGACACCTCCATGTGGAAAAGGGTGTGTCTCATGGTACGTTTCCCTGCCAGAAACTTGGTTGCCTGGGAAAAAAATATTGTAGGAGACAAAAAGGTGGGCTTGACGAAAAATTGCTCAGTACTACCTAACCTGACACTAAATACACCAAAAAGGTGTTTGGGAATCTAGGGGTCCAGTGAGGTCTGAGAAGGGGGAGTGCTCACGTTACTGACGTAGTGGAGGGCTGACCAGGCCTAGGCTGGGCAGAGACAGAGGCTGGAGAGAAGGAGACTTCAGTGGGGAGGCTATGCCAGCAGGAGGCTGGGGTTCCTGCAGGGCAGGCGGGTTCCTGGGGGAAACGAGTCAATTCCCGGCTCATCCTAAGGCTTCTTTACACCTCTGAGTCCTCATGCTTTTAGCACAGGGTTTGGCGCATCACAAGAAGAGCCAGTTCTAATGGAGCGTTACCTATTACCATTGCTATTCTAGCAGCTCCCACACTCGTTTCCAGCAATCTTCTTCAGGCTCACTTGGATGCAGTGAAGGGTGGGTAGAGAGGCCAGGAACTGTTTCCTTGGGCTTTTCCCGAACATTGTAAACAAAGCCAACAGCCGGTCCAGAGTCCCAGGATGATCTCGGAAGTCCATCTTCCCACAGCTTCCCATGGGCACCCTCGGTGTCTCCCCCCTCTTTCCTCACCATCTCTGTTCCCACTTCTGCTATCAACATGTGACTTTCTTCTGGAATGCTGTGAGACCCCACCTGTGAATGTCCCTAGGACAGAGCTCAGTCCTCCACAGAAGAAACAGAGGGTCCCGCAGTCTCACTATAGATCTAAACTTGGACGGTTTTAGAAGTATGAACACTACAGCTTAGAAAAGGCAATACTCTAAAGGATAACCATTTAATATTTTAAGATACTAATATCTTTCTCATTGCATTCAAAATAACCACTGTCTAGCGCTAGAGGTTCTAGTCAATTTTCAAATTGCAAAAACTGAGCCGCAGCAACTGAAAGGATTGCATTTGCAGGTCATTCAAGAACAAAAATGTATGGGACAGTCTGCTCTGATGCCGCAGCCACGGGTCTGGTGGGGGCAGGAGGGAGCTAGGAGGCCTCCTTGATGAAGCCACTGGTCTGGGACAGGCCAGCCTGACACGGTTGCACATGTGGAATAAAACCCAAAATGTAATATTCAGAGTTCACAAGCTGAATAAGTGCACAATATTTAAATAATTAAACCTTTAAATGACGATTTCTGTAAGTCTGTAGAATTTACACTTCTGATTTGGAACACTGTGAATATAGCCTCAAATGTTCACATTAGAAAAGAAAAATAAGGAGCTCTGGACCCAACCCAGGAAGTCAGGAAAAGAATAAAGAATAACACGAGTAAGCAAAAGAAGAAACAAGAAAGACAGGAGCAGAAATTTATAACTAGAGAGCAGATAAACAATAGGGAAGATTACCAACCACTCCTTGAAAATACTGGTAAGAGAGATGAAGAATAGGCACATCTGATCAATACAAAGTTGTGGGAACATGACTACAGATACTTACGACTTAAAATGATGCTTTAATTAAAAATATTTTATTTTTAAGAAATACCTTTTAGTCCAAACGATGTAGGCTCTGAGAACCAATCATTTGTGCACACTGAGTACACGAAAGCACTGTCATGCCAAATAATTAACTAATTTAAGCAGCCAATGAAATTTAAGACTGTTATCTCTGTGAAATTAAATGTGTTCTTCCCTGTTGAATATGGTGTTTAGAGGAATGAGGGCAGGTCAAGGCAGCAGCAGCTCGCTCAATCACTCTCTATCCCCTCCCTGCCTCCCAAAACCCCAGGCGAGAAGTAGGCCAGCAGGAAGAAACCCCAGAGTCTGTGATAGCACCAGGGCGGGTGGGGGTGCCCCCTATGCAGGGGGAAGAAGAGAGAGGCAATGGGTGGTCTGGCAGAGCTGGGATCAGGAGCCCATACAGGCCACGCTGACCCCTGGACATGCTCAGAGGGGATTTTGCACACCCCACTCAGGGAGGGCAGTGTCAGGGGCAGGGGCTGAGCTCTTACAACTAACCGGCTGACACCGCCTCCCAGGTGCAGAATCCACGTCGAGGAGAAGCTGCTGGGAATAGAGATGGAGCAGAACAGCTACTCTTGGGAAGACAGGGCCCATATAAAGTAGGCGAGGAGAACAGAGCGGGGCCTGAGAAGTGAAGGGTGCGTCTGTGAACACTTCAGAACCACAGGAGTGGGCTCAAAGCCACAGAGCCAGAGGAGCTGTCCCCGCACGCCCAAGTTAGGAAAACTGTCACACACACAGGAGCCACAGAAAATGACTGTGCTTCAATCCAATACCGAATTCTTATCAGTAGAAAAACAATAAGGGGCAGGATCAGGTCCTTAGACATGGAAAAAGTTTACCAGCAAGATATGCCCACAAAATGGGCAAAAACTATAATCCAATATTTCAAAATGAACTACAATAAATTAAGAAAATAGCAGAGGACATTAAAGAACAATAGAAATCAGAATTTGAAAACTAGTGTAAAAAGGAAAGTAATTATTTCAGAAAGGATGACTAAACTAGGACAATAAGACAGTTCCGGCAAGGGACAGGGTCACCTTATGGGCAGGAGTGACTGACCAGGGCCATCGGAAGGAGGGCTGCGGTCATTCAGCTGGGTAGGAAGAATCTGCTGGTGCTCAGGGGGTCCCTGGGGGACCAGGTGGTGCTCCATGGCCAGACTGAACGATAAAGAGGTCAGTGCTGTGGCCTGCGGAGGGCTGGTAACCAGATCCCCAGAGCTGAGGGTCCGGCTCACCCCACCAGGCTCGCTGTGCGATGGCAGAGGGGCTAAACAGGGGTGAGGGGGATCCAGAATGGTGTGGAGGGGATGACAGCGAAGCTCACACATGGACTTGAAACAGCGGCCACACGGAGACGGCAGCTCCTGCATCTGACTCTGCTCAGGTGAGGGCAATAAGACCTTACTCTCTTATTATAAGAAGCCAGTGGGTCTGAGATGCCCGAGGGTAGATGGTGATAGACACTGAGATCTCCTCGGATGCCCTCTGCACACCCACACATTGGTGCCCATGGGTCACGACCGTGACCCTCAAAGGCAGTAAGCTCCAGCTGCAGGGAATGGCCTTGTCAAAGGGGAAGCCCTGCCCGGCGGGTGGCTGTGGCAATGACCTGCATCCACACAGTGCCTTCACTCGGGACAAGGAAGGGCCACCCCAGCTCCTGAGCACCCCATCGGGTTGGGTGAAGCTGAGCTTCGGCTGCATGGCGAGGCAGCCTGTCTCGCTGCCTCATCCTGCCTTCCTCCCTGACTGCTGTAACTCCCAGGACCACTGGCCCAAATGTCCTCTGGTGACCGTCCTCGGAGGCTCTCTCCAGAGAACCCAATCTAAGGTGGCAGGCCACTCTGATAAGGGGCATCTACGGGGCCAGGGTAGGCACTCACTTGAGGCTTAGATTGTGGCTGGTTACAGCTTGACAATCCCTTCTCCTTGTCAGATAAATGAGGCCGAGAGGGGAAGCTACCTGCTGGCCCGCAGCTCCCAATGGGATGGTGGCCAAGCGGGCCTAGAAGCCGCCGCCGCCTCATCCTCTGTGATTTCCACTCCAGCACACGCCTCCCTGGACGCAGTGCTTTCCTTTTACATATCTGTATTTCTGTCTTCTATCTTCTCCCTCTTACACACCGGGAAGCTTTTACTTGAACTCGGGAAACGGTTTTCTTGAGGAATATTACCGTTCTGCTGCCCTTTGACCTTCACACTGCTTCTCAGGAGCATCTTCCTACTTGCCTCTTTCCTTTAACATGCTGTAATACTCTCTCTGGAAGTTCCCTGTTGACGTCTTTAAAAGAAAGAATTCACAAGCAGAAATATGCAGTGATTCTTCCTGTTGTCTGGAAATCAGAACGTGATCCAGAGAGTTCCCCTAAGTGGTCTGAGTTTGTCGTTAAAATGACTGAAGTGTTTATTTCGGAGGGTGGAAGTGTGCTGGCTTTCATGGTGGAGAACAAATACGCACTAATTCTCTAGTAAGACACTGGGCGTCATTTGAACTCTGCTATTTTTTTTAAAGATCCATATTCACTGTAATAGTTTCCTCTTTGGAAATTAATTTGTTACCAGTTGTCTCCGTTCATATTATTCATACAGAGAACGCACATGTGAAAAAATAAATAAAAACAATAAGAAGTGGATTCTTATTTCAGTTAATTTTTTTAACTCCTTGTACACAGTATTGAAAATGATCACTTTTCCTATTTCATGCAAAAAAGGCAGAAGGAGGGGTATTCTTAAAATGACTTTGCAAGATGTGCTTTATTTTAAGTCAGTCCTGAACCCAAACTACATAGGATCATTTTTTGACACATTCTAGTCCATTCAATGATTCTTCTCAGAAACTGTATTTTAATATGGAATGAAAACTACGTTTCAATCATAAATTTTCATGCTACATTGTTATTTAATGAAGAGATTGTATTATCAATAATAATAATTTAAGAAAAGGCCATTTTTTATTTCCCCAAGCTCAATATACATATTTCTTTCATAATTATGAACTTAAAAAACCCGTCTCGGATGTAAAAATGTGAATGGGAATATGTAAACTCTTTGATATACCTGAAAAACAGGGAGGAAAATGTCACATACTGGAAAAACCATTGCCTTAAATCATTGACATGGGAAAAAGCGTGTTGAAGGCTGGGGAAAGGCAGAAGAGAGCTCATGACCTCAGTGAGTAAAGCTACAAAGTCTGAGCGTTCCACACCCAGTGGGGGCACGTTTATCTTTCTGCCTGTGTCTGTGTTTCAGAGGAGCAGTCACTCTCTGAGGCAGAACAGCCACCACCACTGACGGGCGTCACCAGCTGGGCCTCAGCAAAGCCGAGGTCCACATATTTGTTTTGCTGCTTTTTTTTCCTGAGACGTCACTGGTGTTTAATGGAAAGATTTCTTATGAGTCTTCAGTTCAGATAAGGCAGTAAGAGTGTCGCTAATATCACTTTTTGCTTAGAATGAGGCTTATCCTTCCACTGGCGTCTTCACAGCCATCGGCTCCCTGTCTCTCTCCCCTCAGAATTGTTCAGGAATTTTCAGCCTGCTATTGCTGCTGCCTTTCGGGGTGTGCTGAGGCCCATCTGTTCTCCTCACAGCAGCCTCCCCTTTGGCGACAGAGCGCTGTATACTGCATCACAGCATCTCTGCAGGAGGGGCCACGGGCCCTGCACGGGAGAACACGGGAGTCTCTCCTCTTCGTTCTCCCTCTCTTCTGTTTCTCTGAGGGAAGAGACCCATCAATGATTCCTTCACGTAGTCAATCAGAATGCAAGACACCGTTGACTAAACATAAAGCAAGTAGCCCTGACTGCAGAGAAATGGAATTACAAATAACTTTTTCAATAGCGCCTTAACTTGCAAGGTAGCTTGATTGCAAAAGGAAGTTGACTCCTTTTGGCCACCTGCCAGAAGAGAAACCATTTCCATCGAACTAGAAATGTTTAGCTCTTATGAGAATATTGTGCTTTTTTTTTTTTTTGAAAATTCAAATGTTAACTTGATTTGCAGTCTGTGTCCTAAGGTATCAATTTGTTTTTTCCCTGGTCCATTTGATCATGGTTTCTGGTGAACGGTACAGGAATATTAATTTGGCATAGAGATCTTCCTCTAGTTCCAGTTCCCCTGTCTCTCGAACCAAAAAAATATCTGTGCACAACTTCAAAATTCGATCGACATTTGGAAGCTCTTCAAACATGATGGAGTGAGAAATTCCACTGAAGAATTCACGGACAAACTTCCCAATCACGAGGACAACTGAAGCATACAGTCCCATGATACTGAAAAAAAATTAAGTAGAAATTGTACTTAACAGTTAAATATGGTTAATAGAACGTATCTAAAAGAAAAAATAATAACATTTTCCCTCAAACTTCATAGAAGATACGATAAACTTATCAAAGCTTAAATTTTTTCCCTTTGGTGAAAACATTCACTTTTTTCTGATTAAAAAGATAATTTACGTTCTTTGAAAAAAAATTTACACATTACAAAGCTATAAGACATGAAAAATCAAAGTCCTATGAAATCTCACATTCTGGAAATAACGCTAATGGTTTCATGTATGAACCTCAGGTGGATTTCTGCATATATTCTATGCATAGACCACATATTGTATTTGGTAGAAATGCATCTGCACCATATATACTTTTCATACCTAGCACTTTTCACTTTAACAATACTGTCTTTCTCAGAGATTCAACTTTTTATTGAGGTAACATAATTTTATTGAGGTAATATAATTACAACATTATATAAATTTCAGGTGGACATCATTATATTTCAATTTCAATGACTACATTGTGTTCACCACCCCAAGTCTAATTGCCATCTGTCACTGTATGGAGATTCATTTTTATAATAAAATTCTAGATAGACAATGATTTCTTAAGAGGCTCTTTCTGGGAAACAGAAAACTTTCTATTTGTGTCTTCTAGGAGATGTGTGTGTCCTAAGATTTAAGACTCAGAATGTGGTAAAATGGTAACATTGGACATATCAAAAACTGTGATTTCTAAGTGATCCTATATCTGCTAAGGTCAGAAGTAAATGTAAGCAGAAAAGAGACCCTATGCCAATTTCTAAGTTTAAACACTGAATTGCATCAAACTATGCCGTAATAGGAAAGTGTAGAGTTAAGAAGCTGAAAATATGGCTTCCAGTACTGTTATTAATGTTGTGACTCACACAAGGCATTTTGACTTCTTCAGGACACTGGTTCCTTATTTTTTTAAATGAAGGGCCAAGGATATGTGAATTTTAATATTTCAACTATAAAATTCGAGAACTCTAAGAAGACAAAAGGCTTCCCATCCTCAACTTGATATGACACAGAAGTAGACTCCTGTAACTGTTAACCATTAAATGAGTCCTTACCCATAGCCAGCCAGGAACCCCAGGCTAGGGGGGCTGACTTTGTCATTGAAGACCACCAGCTCCAAGGCCTGAGCATGCTGGTTGTATATTCTGTTTCCAGTCAGGTTGAGAACCCACCACTCACTGTTAGATTTAGTTGAAGTGTCTCTGGACAAAATGATGGTGATATTCATGAAATTATTTTCTGGAAGAGGAGAAAAATAAAATCAAGTTAGCTTGAGAATTTTAGAATTTAATGTACATCAACAGTTCTCGGATGACAAAACCTGGTTACCCTTCATAGCATATGGTTCCAGGATGAGAAGGACATTTGGACATGCTAACAATGCAAGTGGAAAAGGAAGAGTGGGCCTTAGAGGTGTATGGGGTGTCTGTTTGTCACTAAAGAGGTCAGTCATGGTCACTACATGTGCATGGCAGCCAAATCACAGCTGGAGAGTGGAAGACCCATCACCTGACCATCTTTGCTGATAGTTCTAAACAACTAACTAGACATTTAAAAATCCAAATCGCCGACTCTTGATTGAATTGACTGATTCATTCACATTACCAGGATTTACTGATTATCTTCTAGGAGGAAGGTACTCTGTTAGGTGCTAGGGGTTAGAAAGTTGCATACAGTATGGTTCCTTATCTCAATGGGAAAGACCATGGACAGGAGCACAATTTAAGGGCATGTGGCAACCACTCAAAGACCTGCACTGACAAGGTCTGTTAGCTTAGAGAGATTGCTTCTGGTTGGTAAGATCCATGAGGACTTCTCAGAGGAGATGACTTCTGAGCTGAGTTTTGCTGAGTGAGAACTTCAATAGGTGGAGATAGGGTGGGCAGAGGAGACCCTTTCAGCAAGGATTGATGCCATGAAGCTCTGCAAAGTTCTGAAAACCCCCGTTATGTATGGTCAGTGATTGCTTTTGTTGAAGCATAGGGTGATTATGAAAGAATAGTAAAAGATAAGGCCAACAAAAAGCTTAGGACTACATTGCAGGTCTTTCTACAGGTCTTTCTAAGAAGAGCCACCCTTGTCAACGATAATAGGGCCTCCACTGAGAAACATGGCAGTGGGTTGTAAACTCTGTGAGGGCAGGAACCATGTCTGTATTATCTCATGCTAAATTCCTAGATCAGAGGAATCTATGACAGTGCCTGGTAAGAAACATCTGTTTGTTGGATGGATGGATGGATGGATGGATGGATGGGTGAAGGAGAGTGAGGAAATGCAGGAGACTGGGAAAGATAAAGTCCTTGCCCAGGAAGAATGTGAACCACTCAGAACATTCAAGAACAGGAAAACTTTGGTTCTGACGTCTAGAGACAGTTCTGAGGGGAAATCTGGCCTGGGGCCCAGATAGGCCAGGTTTCGATCTGGTTCTTTCACATACTGGTTGTATAACCTCACTTGAGTAATTCACACCCTGAGCCTCAGTTTCCTCACTCATAAACTGGTGATAACCAGCAACCTATGCTAAATATACCTTATGGTGAAGATCAGAAATAGCTCAGTGAAGCTCATCAGAAAAGCTGTAGGCAGGATCTGAGAGCACCAAGGCCATGTGGTCTGGGGAACAGGGACTATGGAGGTTGGAATTCAGATCACTCACAGGCAGACAAGCTAGTGTGGGGAGAGCGACAGAACTGGTCAAAGAGGAGGCAGATAAAGGATGCTGCTGGGATGAAGGCAGGGAAGGGATGGGACCCAGGGCACAGGGAGAGGCTGACCTGGCAAGGGAGAGAGGATACATCTTTCTTTGAGGCTGAAGGGAAGAAAGAAGGTGCCTGTGAAAATACAAGATGTTTTGCCAAGAAGAGGAAGGAGGTTGAAAGTGTGGCTCCTAGCAGGCTGGGGTCTGCTGGGAAGGCAATGGGAGATATTCTGCTGAGATAAAGCAGCAGGGAAAAGCCTGTTCAGGGACAGAATTGTTTCAGGAGGAATGACTGATTGTGGAGCAATCTGTACTGTCAAACTAAACATTTCTAGAACTATTCCAGACTGAAAGGGAAAACAGTGGGCCCTCTGTATCCCCAGGTTCTGCATCTGCGGAGTTAACCGACAGCAGATAGAAAGGCCTGCGACTGTTGCATCTGTCCTGAACATGTACAGGCTTTTTTCCTTGTCATTATTCCCTAAACAATACAGTATAACAACTATTTACACAGCATTTACCTTGTATTGGGTTCTGTAAGTAATCTAGAGATGATTTAAAGTAAACAGGAGGATGTGGGTAGGTTATACACAAATACTACACCATTTTATATAAGAGACTTGAGCATCTGTGGACCTTAGTGTCCTCGAGGGTCCTGGAACCAAACGCCCATGGATACCGAGGGATGACTGTACCAAGTTCTTAATGCATCTTGCAATTACCTTGTAAGACATATGTTTTTACTGTTGAGGAAGAAGAGCATACAGATGTGGGCTCCAGCCAGTGCTATCCTCCAGCCTTCTTTTCTGCCTGTATTTCTGGCAATCTCCATGGGGGATTCTAACTATTTATTTACATCTCTATCTTTCCAGCTAAACGTGAGCCATGCAGAGCCTGGTCTCCAGGTCTGGCACATGGCCTGGCGACAGTAAGTGATCCACGTTGGCAATGAATGAACATGAGCTGGATAACTGCACTGTCCTTCTACCTTTACCAGATGTATACATCTACTCTGCTCCAGGTAACTGATTAAGTCACACAATGCTTTCTAATTAAAATAATCTAAAATTACCAATTCACTACCATCACTGTTAAATTGAGAAGACACTGTCTCTCGAGTAGTACTATTGATAGTTAATCACCCTTAGGCTGAATCAAGTATATTTCCTACTATCTTTTTATTGTTCTTATTGGGGGGGCCTTCATATTTAACACTGTATGAGACAGTTTTCAGCCAAAAATATGGTTGCTAACAGAAACAAGTAAAGAGACTGATTAATCAGTAACATAAGTCACTAAACATGAATTTAAGTCAATTGCATTCTATAACAGTGAAAGAAAGAAAATGAAGAATATGGCTCCCGGATGAGTAAATGACTCCTTCTGGCTGGTGAATGCAGCCAGCAGTCTTAGGCTTCTTGCAAGCCACGTCACACAGGGAAAGAAACTGGAAAGGAGCTCGATGAAGGCTGAAAATGCAATGGTAGAAGCTGAATAAAATAAGGACTAAAAAAAGTTCTGAAACAATTCCTCCTTGTTCTTACCAGACAGAAGTTGCTTTATGGGTTTTGAGTTAGAATCACTGGGCGCTTTCACGTAATATGGGTAGATCTTTTCTATAGTCCTGTGCATTAGGACAAAAAAAGAGGTAATTAAGTTTTAGTCGGTTTACTCACATAAAGTTGATTTTTTTTGTTGCTATTTTTGACCTCATATCAAACAAATAATGGTGAGAGTCTTCACACATTTACACAACATGTAGTCATCATAATTTATGGGTCTCCATTATAATCAGAATTCTCTGAGGCTGAGCAAATTCACCAGGTTCTATCCAGATACTCATGTAAACTCTGTATACCAGCTAGTTAATGGCTTAAAACCTGCTACAAACATTTTCCCGTGTCTGTGACTGTGTCTGAAGCAAGGGCTGTCTTTCTTGCCAGGATCCTATAACTCTTATCAATCACATTGAGCACTGTTCTCATTTTAATTTTTAGGATTTTAAAACTATCCATAATCAAGTGGACTGCATGAGTTGATCTCACGCAGAGTGAGGGTCGAGAGGAGACCTGGCGACCTCGACCTTATCCTGCCTCTGCGGTGGACGAGCTGAGTGACCTGAGGCCATTCCGTCTTTCCAGACCTGTGTTCTCGCCTGCGGAATGATAGGGGGATTTGACTGTTTTCAAGGGCCCTTCCACTTTAGGGATTAACAAAGGCCGTCTTGGGGACACATCTGAGGACTGCATCACGGTGGTTCCTATTGTCACCGCATTATAACAGGGCCCGGGCAGACTGGAGGACAGCCTGGGCAAGGGCCGGGGGAAGCTGGGAATACTGCGTTTAGTAGTTTTACGCCAAAAGCATTTTTTTCTCTTGCTAGTTCTCCTATCAGAATCTACACATCACAGTTTGGATTTGTTTGATAATTAAAAGAATCCAAAGTTGTAGGCAGGATTTGTTTGAAGTGGAGTATTTGTATGGCAGGATAATATGTTAAGATGTAGTTTTGCCCCCAAAATTTCCTTTTACCCCTTGTCTTCTCCCACCCCCCATTCATTGGCCAGGCATTCAGTGACCCCGGGGGCAAGAATAACAGTGGCAGAGGGTCGCAGAGGGTCTTTCCCTGGCTTCTGGTGAGTAGGGTCAGATACAGCAAGGTCTGCTACCCAGAGATGAGATCAACCCTCCCCATGCGAGTGGACAGAGAGTAGGAGGGAAGAAATGGAGTTGCTTTAATCCAGCACAGCGAGCCCTCCAAACAGAAATTCACTCAGTTACTGAAGTTCTTGCACACATGCATGTGTAGATGGAGATTTGGTACCAAATACATACATCTATTAAAGCTGTATTAACAGCAACAATCAACTTACACCGGTGTTTTGGAACTTTCTGTGTCGTTGCCAGCTATCATTTTAGCTATATTCTCTCGCGTAGTGTTTTTAAGAGGAAAAGAAAGCTTGTCTGTTGCTATTTCTGCTTTTGCACCCAGACTCATGTTTCTGCGGGGGGGAAAAAAAGAGCTCAATGTCAGTGATTATTCAGAAGTCGGGAAGAGAGATTTAAAAACTCAGATGACTCTTCATTTTATTATTCTCACCAAGTTTTCACTGGATCCACAAGTGTCAACCCAACCCTGTGTGTCCACCTTAAATCTACGTCCAGCCACTTAGACACCAAGTTAGTACAACCCTGGAAGGCCACATACACCTTCAGAACAGAGGTGCGCGAGGAACAGAGCCTCCTGACTCGCAGGAAACCGTCTTGATGCTCTCACATGAGTTTCCCTAACTCCTTATAGTAACCCAATGAAGCTAGTCCCCATGGTGACTAATAAAGTCCACATTTTAAAAAGAATGTTCAATCAGAAGTTGATTTTTAATTTTCACTATTGTTGTTCTTTTTTTGGTAGCTCTTCAGAAAAAGGCCAAGAAGTAAATTTTTGGCAGTACGGAATTCCACGTGAGAAATTTGGAACATTTAAAAGGAGAAAATGAGATTAAAAAAGGAGTTCTTCAAATTCTGAACAGCTCCCTCTGAAATATTCTTTACTGTTTCCTTGTGAATTCACTGTAGATTGCAGAAGGCTTCTTCTCCATCTATCATGATTCTTTATTAACTCCAACCTAGAAACTGGCATTGTGGACCCAAATGAACCTATCCCTTGCCTGTCCAAATAAGCTTGCCCAGAGTCCGGGTCACAGGACTGTGATGAGAGAAACTACTCTCATTAGCTCCTGTATGCATCGAGGCCCCCAAGCGGCTCTACTGACACATCCAGCTGGACGTGTTGGATGCAAGAACGTTCCTAAGATGTGCTCTGTCTAAACGAGAAGCAGTGGCCGCATGCTGCCATCGGCTTAGGTTAGGTGGAAAGGAATCTCCCCAGCTCTCCCCATCCCGGGACTGCCAAGCTGCTCTCACACCCCACACCTGGAGAAAAGATCTGCGAGGCCTTCCCCCATGGAGAAGGCATGGAGTCAGAATCCGAGGTTCCAGAGGCTGCAAATTCTTTATTATTAAGACCAAACTTCAACTTTTCAGGGAAATCTTACAATTCACCCAGACTGCTTCATTTTATAACCATTACCATCTTTCTCTTCTTTCTGTCTCTCTCTCATGTTCGCAGAACTCATTGCCAGCCTCTCTTTCAAAACTGAAGTTAATACAAAAAAAGGAAAACTAAGAAGTTCTTAGTTTTGCCAGTGATTCTCAGGCAAATGATTATTTAATAAATAAAAATGTTAGCTTTAGGGGCTGGCCCGGTGGCGTAGCAGTTAATTGTGCGCTCTCCACTTCAGCGGCCGGGGGTTTCCAGGTTCGTATCCTGGGCGTGCACCGATGCACCGCTTGTCAAGCCATGCTGTGGCGGCGTCCGGTATAAAATAGAGGAAGATGGGCACGGATGTTAGCCCAGGGCCAGTCTTCCTCAGCAAAAAGAGGAGGATTGGCATCAGACGTTAGCTCAGGGCTAATCTTCCTCACAAAAAAAAAAAAAAAGTTAACTTTAGAATGGATGCTCCCAAGATGTAATGTCAACCAAGATCCACATTAATCAAATTTTTCTATCCTTCTACCCCCACCCCTGCCCCAAGTTTAGATGGGGGAAAGGGAGAAATTATGCATGGAAGCACAGTAACTACCTCTGAATACTCCAGGAAAAAACAACAGAGAAGCTACTATTGGGGTCCATGAGTTCCTGTATCATTTTCTGCTTACTGGGAGGGCTGATGGTCCACAAAGAATTTGAGTTTCCTTCCAGTTCTGCTACTGTTATGTCTTCTTTTTCATAATTTTCCAGAAATTGCATGGCACCCTGTATGCACACAAATATACATGCATAAATAGATCACATACATGATGATGTATGAAGAGAGTGATCACTCTGCCTTGTAACTGATTGCACAGAGAGGACTTCTTCCTATGAAAGGAAGATCTCTGTAATGGACTGCCTTGGTGCTCCATTGTACTAACTATGTTCCCACAGGCATGTGCAGTCACATAGCCAGACCCAGTGGTGGTGTTTCCACAGAAATGTAGTTATGGAGTCATTCCAGTTAAACAGTAAAGAAAAATCAGACGATTGTCGCTTTTCCTCCCCACCAAGAAGGAGATCTATCAACTATTGGGGAACGGCCCTCTCATGAGAGAGTCAAATTTAACCCACCCAGGACATCCTGGACCTGTCCCCATAGCTGCTCATTCCTCAAGATTAGTTTTGACACTGTGCGTTATAGGCCGACAATTTTACAAAAGAGAAAAGTTTGCCTAATCACTTTCTTTAAATAAAAAGCATTATTGGGGCTGGCTCTGTTGCATAGCGGTTAAGTTCGTGCACTCGGCTTCGGGGGCCCGGGGCTTCGCGGGTTTGGATCCCGGGTGTGGACTTACACACCACTCATCAAACCATGCTGTGGTGGCATCCCACATACAAAATAGAATAAGATGGGCACAGATGTCAGCTCAGGGACAATCTTCCTTCCTCACCAAATAAATAAATAAATAAAAGCATTACTGGTAAAGCAAATTTTAATTATGAAAACTCATGTTATCATATTATCAAAAGTGTGGAGTGTAGAGAAAAGAATAACATCAGCCACAACTCCACCACCAGAATATTATCACTGTTTTATGCAGTAGGGAATGTATATCTGATTTTTTATCATTTTAAAAATAACAGTGTGTCTCCTTTTTCGTTTGTTTTATCTTGAAAAATTTTCATGCCATGTATAGTTTTTGTAATGATTATTTTTCATTACAAAAGAAGTTGCTTGGAAAATATTCAGACAACATGGCATGTAAATAAAATAAAAAGTGGTAGCCCCTTTTCCTCCGCTGACTGCCCTGGAAGCCAGTGCCAATCAAATCCATTCGATATACCTGCTGTGATTTATTCAACCAGTTCCCACTTGTTGGACCCTCAAGTGGCTTCCGGTTTTCACTACCACAGAAGATACTCTCACGAGCAGGTACCTGCACAGAGCTTTCCTATATTTTGAATTCCTTCCTTTGGATAGATTCCCAGGGTAGACCCACCAGTCAAAGGGATCAATATCTACCACAGTTAAAAAATTTAAAAAATTTTTAAAAGAATCAACATCTGTTGTGCTTAGAATAAAATGTTCTGAATTAAGATTATGTTTGTTAACACTGCGTCCATATAGACATAACGTCTTAGACTATCAAAGTGCCAGGTGGCCAGGAATCTGCTGGGCATAATTGATAATCCCTGAAAGGTCCTTCCCCCCATCACAGGCATGGCAGATTGTGACTCATATGACAACCAGGAAGCTCGCCTAGATGAAAGATCTTCATAGAGATCTGTTATATGCATTTACTTACAGTGTCCCTAGAAAAAGATTTCACAAATTTATTAAACTTTGGCTGGTCCATAACTTTCAACTGGCTTTGCTGGGCACTCATCGTGAAAATAGGCTGAAAAACAAAGATATACAGTGTCGTCAATATTCTGAAGCTGTTCTCTGCATCCTGGATTAAAGAAAACCATTTACATGTATATCACCCACTGAGTACCCAAAGGCAACTAGCCACAGAGATCTCTCAAAACCGGGACAGAACTATTCTTTCACTGTCTTGTGCACCTTGTTACAAACATCACACATTGGGTGACCAGTCAAAATTGATGTGGGAAATATGGACCTGCAACACCTAACCACACGTCCCATAGGTGGTCATCAGGAAAGAGCCCTGTGTCAGGGAAGGGGCCAGCAGGTGGTGGGACGAGAGAAGTGCACAGCCGTTACCTGGTACCCTCCCAGGGTGATTGTGACCGAGACGTCCAGGGGCTGGTTGATCACCCCAGCGACAGATTTGATCAGAGACATGAAGAGAAGAGGAAACCAGACAATGCAGATGAGCAGCACGATGATCATGCCCCCCATGCCGTACTTCACCACTTTCTTCTTCTTCTGCCCCCGCGGCTGTGGGTATCTCTGCAACAGAAGAGTGTACAGAGGCTCAGCACTGCCCCAGGAGGAGGGCGCACACTCTCCCCATGGGGAGGCGGCTGGATGAAGTCCTGATTCTGCTTAGCGGGCAGAGCAGCGTTGTCCCCACCTGGTAGGAAGTTAGGTGGTGACGTGAGGCTGTAACAAGCTCACCGCAGGTCCCCCAGGAGGTACCATGAGGGGCCACCGTGGCCTGAGTGCCTTTCTCCTTAAAACGGCTGTATGGTTTTCAGTGACCCACAGATCAAATACTCTGCTGAACAGAGCTTCTTTCTGCTTTTAAGGGATCATGGGAGAGAAAGACATTTGGTTTTAAACTTCTGACTTTAAATTTCCTTTCAACTGACCCCTTCCTACCCTTGGTGGGTGGAAAAACATGTTTAATTTGATTCATGACACAGGTTGTCAGAAGGTGTTTTTCACACCCTACACTAAGACCTGTAGGGTCAAGAGAGCCCTCTCTGGGCCACTGTGATTCTGCACAGGCCCTCGCTGGGTGCTGTGCTGGGGGTGGTGTTGGAGGGAGGGTAGGTGTGTGTTGAGGGGGGTAGGTGTGTGTGTCACACAAGGGACTTGCACAAGAGCACTGCTCTGGTAGGGTGGAGTCATGTCCATTCGCTTTATCTTTATAAAAGATAAGCACTGAGCTCGGAGGTTGTGCACAGGTGGAAGGGGCCAGCTCTGCTGCCTGGTATTAAAGTTGCTTTACCAGATCTGTATGTGCTTTCCTACTTCTGGGTGGCTTCTCAGTGACCTGCTTTCTTCCAGGGTTACCCTGGAGGTTAGGCTACATACATCACGTATCAGATGTCCCCAACCCGGCCTGAGTTACCCTGGGGCTCACACTCCCTCAGCGGGGATCTGCTCACTTCAGTAGATTAAGGTAGGGAAAGATAATCTACATTCTACCTGTAGACACTGAGCTCTAGGTTACAAACTCGGAGAGGGCTGGGAGTCAGCACTGATGTCCCCCAGGACTGTAAAGGACACTGCTACAAAGGCTCTACAAGCCTTGACACTCAGTGATCACCAGAGACGGGCATAGAAACCAGAGGATGTGGGTGGAGTGGGGTGCAGAGCGGAGCCAGGATGGGGAGCAGAATTCACCCAGGGGACAGAAGATAACGCTTCTAGATGACTCTGCTCTGTGAAAGCGGTGCGAAGTTCAGATCACAGCAGTGTATTTTGATATTTTTACACTGGAATTTGATACTGTTGGTTATAATTTTCTATTTTGAAAGAAAAACTGGAGTCTACTATTTAAAAATTTTAAATATATATCCATACACATACATGCACACATGCACATACCTATACGCATACACACACATACAGGTTTGCTTTTTCATGATTTTCTCAATGAGGCACGTTTAGACAACAGGCCACCCCTCCCACTCCAACAGCACCCTAGCATTCCATAAGGAAGAGCCGTGTGAATTAAGGGAGATTTATCTTATCTCTTCCAAGAACAGCCTCGGTTTCTTTTGCCTGAAGTGGGACCACACCAGTTCCTTTCCTGAAGACTCATCTCAAAGTCCCCAGAACCCCCACCCATCTCCTCCGTCCTCCTGCACACCTCTCCACGCATCTCCCTGGAGAGAACAGGGCCAAGACCTTCGGACCTGTCTCTAACTGTGAGGCCACTTTCCCCCTCGTGTTCCAAAGGGATTGCACCTTCTCGTCCCGCGCTGCTCCATCCGCCCCTTCCTGGGGAAGCCAGCTCTGTCCTGTGTTCCTGTTGCCTACACTTCCAGCCAGCTTCCTACAGTGTTTGGGGAAGTGGCTGCGTGGGGATCTTTGTAAAATATGACTAGGAGTGAGTGGCCTCTATTGTGTGTGTTCATGCTAAGTTTGTCTTTCAGGAAATTGTTCTCACTTCACAAAGTATATTCATAAAGCCCCAGGAGCATATTACATTCGACATGGAAAAAATCCCCAAGAAAAGTAACTTTTAAAAGAAGCTGATTCTTCTGCTTCGTACTCGACAAGTGATTGTCACTGGTAATGTTTCGTCTCTGATAGGATGGAGTAGAAACTAGTGCCAGATTCATTTAGACTCCCTTACTACAACCTCCCACATGCCTACATACCTCAGGAAGTTTTACCATGCCTGACTTCAAAGGCAGATACTCTGAAACAGCCATCAACTTAGCCTACGATGGAAGTATATATTTAAGTAGAGGTGATGCGTTAAAGTGAGGCTTTTTATTTCTTAAAGATAAAATAAAAAGGGTAATTGGAAGTTTTTTGTTGGGTGGGAGCGCCTAACGCTCTAGGCCAGATTGACCCTGTCCTTCATAAGGAGAATGGGCAATGGGTATGACTGCCTCACTACAGTATTAAGAACATTGTCACCTGTTGGCTTAAAGGCAGTGAAAATCGAGTATGAGCTGAGGAACTGGGCAGCCACAGCTGCTCACATGAAAAATGGGCCCGCATCTGCGTGACAGAGTTACTTGAGTTCTGACTCAGAAGCCCTCCGTAAAGGGCCCCCATCCTGTTCATTCAGGGGAAGCAATGTCTCCCCATTTCTGCCACCCTTTGGGCAGGCTCTGGATCTTAGAATGCCATCTCTCACTCCTGTTCTCAACAGATGAGCTCATCTACTCATGGAGAAGACAGGCTATCGGGCATGAGTTTGTTCACTGCCCATCTCTCTCTCCAACTTTCTGTAGGATGGCCGTTCCTCTTTGCTACTGCTGACTCGTTTTTCCACGCCTCTGATTCTATGCTTTCCAGATCCCCATCGGGACCTTCCTCCTTTGGCTCTGATATAAGAATTTTTACTTTTCATTTTTCTCCTGGTCTTTTGCTTACAATCTCAGAGAGGTTCAGACCCTCTCGTTCTGAAATCATCCTCTTGACTTGCCTCTCTTGAACTGATTCTCTCTCTTGCCTTTCCCTTGCCTATGCTTGGTCCCTCCAAAATGGCAGCTACAGGAGTGACCCCAGGCAAGGCTGTCCCCCAGAACTGTGAGCAGGTAAAATGGTTATCTTCAAACCACTAAGTTTTGAGGTATTTGTTAGCAACAATGGACAACTGATACAATACCTGTTGAACGAATGGTTCCAGGAACTGGAGGGAGATCTCCCACCTTTGGAGGTGACCCACTCGTGATGAGGTAGATTTGAGTATTAGAAAGTTCTTTATGTTCCATTGAAACTTATTGGAGCTTTTGTCTACTTGTCTTAATTCTGTTTTCTTAAGTTTCACAAACTAATTTGAATTTTTTGTCTATTTTCCAATATTTCCAATAGTGAAAAACAGCTATTAGTTTTGCCTCCCCCCACTGTTTTCTACTTCAGACTGAATAAGTCTTGATTCTTCCTACTTGTCCTTATATGTCATGATTACCAGACCCATTGTTACCTTGATTGTTACCCTCAATGTCCCTTTGGTAGACTGGCTCTCATATTCTGTCATATCTCAACTCTTGCTCTCCTTAAAAATCAGGACAAGCTAGTATGATTTTAAGTATACTGTCAGTCCCCATCTTCTTCACTCCCACAAACCCCACAAACACAGAGGCCACAGTACAATGGGCCCCATGACTTTAAAGCTGAAATTCCCAGAAGAAGCTACAGAACACACCAGAAATTATACGGAGTGGAGAAGACTTTTCCAAAGAAGGTATTCTCGAGATGAGGAAAAAGCACATTTCATACCACCTTGGCTCATGTTTGTTGGGTATTTCTATTGCTATTATGCAACAGTCTCCTGTTTCAAAACTTGAAGTTCTGAAAAATCCAATAAATAATAGTAATTCTATGCATATTTAAACCTTAACATTCAATGTAGCAGAATAAGAAAATATTTGCACTTCAATTTCCTTTGCACAGAGGTTAGATTGTCCCTCATCAAAGAGTGAATCAGAGGATGAGCCTGAGTCCAGGCCACCTGACCCCACTGCTCTCTACCATACCACATTCTCTCCTGCTCCCAAAGGAGCCATTTAAGAATTATTGGGTCATACAGCTATATATCATTCTTCTTTTTAAAATAACTACAACGTACAGTTGCCAAAAGAAGAACACATCTGGATGCTATTGCTGACTAAGGCAGCAGTAAGTCCAAAATTCCCAAGCCCAGCAGGGTGGAAATCAACGGGACTTTTATAGGTCTTGGTAGTTTTTGCCCCCTGTCTCCACTTATTTGGCCACAATACTCGCAGAAGTTCACATTAATCTTATAACCAGCCTGTATCCAAGAGAAACAAGCAGGGATAAGGCATTTTTATTGGCTTACTTTTTCTGACTCCCGCCAACACTTCAGGATGAATATGTGAGCATAGATGTCCTCCACACAGATCCAGCTGGAGAGGCTCAAGGTCGTGTCTGTCCACACCCAGTCCATCACGGCCCTCAGCTCAGTCAAAAACGGAACGAGGCGGAACCTGGCAGAAACCATGCCTTGTTAGAGAGACAGTTGTGGGATGGCCCTCCTCACCCGGCCAACCCTGGGGGCTCGTGGAGTTCCTTATTGTTTTAGCCCTTGTGACTTAAGAAAATTCTCAAGGTGACCTTTATGGTGAAATCCAACTTGGAATACAACTGACTTTCATTATAAATCCAACATAGGTTTTGGTATTTTCCATTCCTTTTTTTTTTTTTTGGCTGATGGCTTTAACAAATTGGGATTCCCTTTTTAAAGAAGTTTGAAGGTGTCTTCTGCAATTTTTCATCAGTCTTGTAGTTTTCACCGTATAAATCTTTCACTTATTTGGTTAAATGTATTTCAAAGTACTTTATTGTTTTTGGTGCTATTGTGAATGGGAGAGTTTTCTTTATTTCTTTTTCAGATCTCGTTGTTAGCATATAGAAACATAACTGATTTATGTATGTTCATTTTATATCCTACAACTTTACAGAATTTGTTGATTAGTTCCAACAGTTTTTTGGGTGAGTCTTTAGAATTTTCTCTATATAAGATCATATCATCTACAAATAACCAGAATTTTACTTTTTTAAACATTTATTTGTTTATGTTATGAGAATTTGTTGGTCATAGGATGATTGAATTATTGGGGCTTTGCTGCTGAATGAGCTAGGAAAGACTATTCACTTGGTAAGTGGAAGAAGAGGGCAAATGAGAGAAGCGAGATGGAGCCGCACATGTCTTCAGGAGCGGCAGCAGGAGGGCCACAGCCAGTGGCCTTACTAGATTAAGGCCGATGGGACTCTGGCTTAGCCTCTTGTACTTCAGTTGGGAATGGGTTGACCTGGGCTCCTCTCGGGTCTGGGGACTCTTCCTTGTTTCCTGACTGACACAGAGCTTCTCCCGAGCTGGAGAACCTGCGTTCATCACTGGGCCCTCACAGCAGCTGAGTTACCACTCAGAAATCCGCCCTGTGCTACTCAGCTTTGTTCAGTGAACACTAACTCAACCCCTGGAAGAAATATCAGGCCCCCACACGGGATGGCACTAAGTGAAACACCGTTCCACGCATGACAGTTCACAACATCTGAGCACCTTCAACACCCTTTTGTGACTAAGTCACCGGTCCCCAGGTCTTGTGCTACTGAGGAGTCAGCAGTGCCATGAGCAGGCTGACCCTCTACATCATGGTATAATTTCCGAGGGAACAGAGAAGAGATGCTACCACTGAAATCCTCATATGGAAGAGCCAATATGCTTTGTTTGAGTAGCTAACTTACTACCAGGAACAAGCAAGCTGTGTGGCATTCGGGTTGGTATTAGGTGGAACAAATGCTCCTCTTCAATGGATGAACTTACTGTATATCTAAAATTCCAAAGGTATTTTGGAATAGTCCAGATTCCAAATATTCTGTTCTGTTGTGCCCAGAAGTATATTAATACTTAAGGACCATGTATACCTATTTACCTCCTGCAATTTTATCACAGTGATTATGTAGGATACAGAAATAGAAAATTAACCCACGCGGATGACCTAGAACAAATATCCTGGCCAGGTGTGTGACAACTAAGTTTGGAAAGGTGTTTAAAGAGGCGTATCTGTTCTTTCGGCAGGCACTGTAAGAGGCCACGAGGATCGACACTGCTGCCTGTCAGCACTCTCCCTCTCCCATCCGTCCCCAGAGAGGAAAGAGAATGCCTTTCAGTTGCCAGCCTCTCCTCTGTGAGTGACGTGACAATGCAGAGCGTCCTTACCCCTGAAACAAGAAGAGGTTGACATAATTGTAACTCTTTGTGAGGAAGTTTCCAAGGACGCGCGTTGGGTAACCACAACGGATTTGGTAGGCAGACAACCCGAAGTAAACACACTTCACAAAGTACCAAAGCTGAGCCACCAGATTCTGGCTGAATTTCCTAAAATGTAAAAAATCAGAAAAGTGAAGGAATGGAATACTCTTCCGCTACAAAAGGACACCAGTTTAGGATTAAAAAAAAAAACAAAACCTAATTGCCCCTCTGGCACTTAAAGTCATTCAGTCAATTCTAGGGAATTCTCTATATATAGCGGATCACTTCAAAGGCAAAAGGTAGGGTAAGAAAATCTAATAATTAAAAAAAATTCCTACGGATGGTGGCCCCAACTAGTAAGTACATTTACAACTAATAAGTGTATTATTCTGTTGTTTAGGCCATAATTACAATAAATTACTAGGTGAATTTACTAATAAATGCTTTCTTCCAATGTCAATGCTGCTGGTACCATGGCCCAAAGTAAAGCTTGACAAAGAAAAAACAAAATGCATTTCTTACTTAAAAGGACCCATAATTTGGAAGATGTAGGAGAAAGAATTCTGAGAAGAGAACTCCCAATTTTGTTTTGCTACACATCTATAAAGATGGACAATGTATTAACAAAGTTTCGACAACTGGATTTTGGTTCCAGTTCTGTTTATAAGCTACGGGGTTTGTTCCTTAAGCCATCATTTCTCAAGACAGCAACGTCTTTATTTGAAAATCTTCCCTAACTCTGAAAATCTATGACTCTATGATCTAACCTTCCTTTTTTAAATGATGTCCTTAAACATAGAGATGGTAGTCCCTTCTCCTAGTGAATAGGAGACCTGTTCTAGTGAAGAGACCTATAGGGTTGTGCAGTTCATGAATGCTACCGTAAGTTGGAGCAAAAACTTAGCAGAACTAAATTTCACACTAGAAAAATATTTGGAACACATTTTTAAAGAATGATGAGCTATAGGGCCATTTGTTAGTTTGGATAAATGCAGCATTCTGCGTCTTTAACATGGTCAGTACACATTTTAAAAAGGAAATAAAAAGTAAGACTTTTGACTCAGCAAGACCTAGTAGAATCTCCCCTGTGTTTAAAATTAAGAACAATATTGGAAATTTTTTATACAAGCAGTGTATCATTCTTTATGTTGTATTTTGGATTTGTCTTATTAACTTTTAATTTTGTTATTAGAAGAAAACATGTATTATTTTTAAATTGAAAATAGCTATTCTTTAGTTGACAAGATCTAAGGACAAGCCAGGAACATGTGGGCCTATGTGTCTGGGGAACCTAGGGTCCTTTACGTAGATCCCAACAACTAGATCTCAAAAATATTGCTTGTGAATGTCTCCTCTGTAGAGAAATACAGCTTTGGTACTTGAGGACCTAATGAATTAATTTAACTATATTTGACCATGATCTAGCACTTGACAAGTTATCAACAAAAATATCAGATATTTTACAGAGAGCCCATGTCAATTATCCCTTCCCCCACTCTTTCTAGGCACTGTCTATATTTGTAGAGCATTAGGAAGAACATTATTTTAGCCCTCCAGAAAAATGCCCTTTGATTTTACAGAGACTTGATATGAAAACTGCATGGGAAAGAATTCTTCTACATATATTAAAATTATAGTCAAAGACAGATAAGCTGTGTTGCCTTCTATTCTTTATAAAAGGACCAACCCATGTTTTACTCATTAAAAAAAAATAAACATTTTCCTTCCTACAGTCTTAAAATGTGTCAGCTTGGAATAAGTAATAGTTAATCTGTAGTTCCTCAAGTAATCATGTTAAATGTAATTAGGGACATTAGGGTGTCCAATCCCGGAAGCCTTTTTTCTTTGGTGGCCTCTACCTGTTTTATTGCTGCAGCCTACAGACATGCCTTACTCATCTCACAGCACCTACTTACACAGTGGTTTGTAGACTGTAGGCAACTACTGAATGTTTGTGGACTAAATGATGTGCATGAACACAGGAAAACTCATTTATTGGATTAATTATTCAAGATATCAGAGCTTCCTGATGCTCAGTATTCTGACTGGTAGCCATAATTTTCTTCTGTATAGCTTAAAAGACTGCTAATTTATTTCTTCTTTTTTCTTTTCTTGTTTTGAAAAGAATCTAAACAATATGACCATTAATATGAACAATAATGAATTAAATTATCCATAACAATATTTAAAGGAGGAAAAATGAATTTTGGATGTTAAGTAATGGCAGCATGGTTTGAAATGTCAGTAAATTATGTTGCCCCTGACATGCTGGCAACGAAGACAGAAGGTTTGCCAGTCCTAATATAACTTGTATTAAAGATCCAAAAATAAAGATAGGATGATCTGTTGCACTAGGAACGGCCATTAGGTGAGGCTCAATGGTGAGATCCAGTGAGCTGGAAATGGTCTCTGTGGCCACGGCTTTAGCAATTGTCACAGTGCCTTGAGCTCTGAGTGCCACTGTGTGGGCCTTCCCACATGGGGTTGGGTCCATGCTTTATTCACATTGGTGTCATGCCGCTTCTTGTCTGGTCTACTGCCCTGGACACAGTAGGTGCTCAATAAATGTGAAATTGAACTGAATATGCATGACTGCAAGTCACCACAGGAGAAGCCTTCATTCACTCAGTCATTATAACAAATATTTCAGCTCTCTTTCGTTTGGAAGGTGTTTTGTTATGCTGTTAATCTCTTCAAAAGCCTGGTAGAACAGTGTGGTAGATAGAAAAATGCACCCCCCTTCTGCCCAAAGATGTGCATGTCCTAATCCCCAGAACCTGTGAACATGTCATCCTTACAGGGCAAAGAGGACTCTACAGATGTGATTAAGGATAAGGACCTTGAGATGGGGAGATCGCCTGGGTTATCCAGGTGAACCCAATCTAATCAGCAAGTCCTCAAAGAGAGAGACTCTTTCTCAGCTGTGGTCAGAGGCAGATGTGACAAGAGAAGAAGGGTCAGAGAGACGCAATGAGAAAAGGACTCAACAACTCTGCTGCTGGTTTTGCAGAAGGAGGAAGAGGCCACCAGCCAAGGAATGCGGGCACCTCTTGAAGCTGGAAAAGTCAAGGAAGTGGATTCTCCCCTAGAGCCTCCAGAAAGGAACAGCCCTCTCAACACCTTGATTGTAGTCTAGTGAGACCTGTGTCAGACTCCTGACCCACCAAATTGTAAGACGATAAATTTGCATTGTTTTAAGCCCTAGGTTTGTGGTAATTTGCTATAGCAGCAATAGGAAACTGACACAAACAGGAAAAGCAAAGCTATTTGGTGATTTGATCTTGCTAAAGCGACTCTCTGTGGCTCCGCCATTGCCATATTTCTGGAAGCACTGATCTCCGTGGGGCTTCCCTGTTAGGACATGGCAAAGATCCCTGCTCTGGGGCTCTGAGCTCTCTTCTGGGATTGGAACCATCAAATCCTTTTCACACTGCACAATGAAATAGTAGATTCTGTCACTTTAAAAAAACCTGCTTGGGGGGCCGGCCTGGTGGCGCAGTGGTTAAGTGCGCGCGCTCTGCTGTGGTGGCCCAGGGTTTGCTGGTTCGGATCCCGGGCGTGCACTGACGCCCTGCTTGTCAAGCCATGCTGTGGCGGCATCCCATATAAAGTAGAGGAAGATGGGCACGGATGTTAGCCCAGGGCCAGTCTTCCTCAGCAAAAAAGAGGAGGATTGGCATCGGATGTTAGCTCAGGGCTGCTCTTCCTCACAAAAAAAAAAAAGAAAAAAAATCTGCTTGGAACCAAATGCGAGATACTTCCCATTGGTGGGGGTGTATCACATAGTAGGTGTGGTGTACAGTAGGTGTAGTATACCATAGGGCCAAGAGGCCTGGGATTGGGATCTGGCCTCACCAATAATTAGCCCAATGACTTTGGAAAGATCACTCTTCTTTATGGGTTTCACCTATCTCAATCTGTAAAATTACACAGTAGGTCTAGAAAGCTTTTTAAGGTCTCTTCTCTGAAATTAAGAGTCTCTATGAGGGCTGGTGGAGAATGCCTATTTCATGCTTTTAAATATTAAAGAAATAGTCAACATTCATCATCCAGCTACCATGGGTGTTGAATTTGGTTTATTTCTCTGAGTTGAGAGATAGCTATAATTACATATTTATAAAGAAAATTATATTTATTCTATTTTAAAGACAACAAATAAGATTCACAACACTATCATGAACAAATTAGAATATTTTTATGAGCAGCTTGTCTTAATCTGAATTATTTTTTTATCATCAGAGATATGTTTACTCTCCCAACATACAGTGTGGAATGGGAGACTTACCAGGCTCTTGGGTGTCTTCTTTATTTACTTAGTTCTACTAATTCTTTATTTAGTTGTTCTACTTTAGACTCAGGAAAAATTATCCTAATTCAATTTTTCCTTTTAAAATATTTTGCATTGCCACCATTTATTATTCCAAAGCAATAATTCTTATACTGAAATCAGAAAGTTGGAGCCTAAACATTTAGGTGAGAACAGACATTAGCTCCAGCCATTGTTAGGAGAGATGTGGATTTCCTCATCAGGAATTACATTTGAGTCAGTTTATGTGCCACATAAGTAAAATCCATTTTCCCTACTTTCTATTCACACTTCCAAAAAATACGGTGTTAGCCAGACTGATTGACATGTTAGTTATAAAGCTTGTCTGTGAATGACTCTTGAGTTATGATAAAAGGATCAAATTAATGTTAAACACGAAGACCTTGTTAACGATATGTTTATTAAAAAAACCATTCCTCTGACCTCATACGGATACTTCCACCTCCCCTTCTGCAGACCTCACACTCACACCTAACAGCCCTCTCCTGTTTCTAGCAATCTCCCTTGTCTTTCTGTTATCCGCTGTCCCATTCATTGGCTCCTGCATTAACACCAACTTGGTCTCAAGGACTGTTCTGAGTGGAGGTGTGGGGTGGGAAGAAATGCCATCTGGGCTGAGATCTAAATAGTGAGGAGGAAGAAGCACTGTGGTTTGGAGCGGGGAGGCGCGGAGGGAGCAGATGGGCTTTGAGGTGCCTCTGGAGGTCACGGCGCCCTTGGGGAACTGAAGAGGGTCAAGGTCACGGAGAGAAAGACAGCAGCCACCTCCTAGGATCTCACTAGCCCTTTTCCTTCCGAACTTCAGGCTGCTCTACTTAAATACCCACTCCTTTAATCCCCCAACCCATTTTAACTGGCAGCAAGAGGTGTGTTAACGGAGCAGAGTCCTGGAGTCACAGGTCTGCATGCTTCCCTCTCCGTGTGCTGAGACCCTGACAGGGCCAGGAGCTTTCCAAACGCCGTTAAACGTAACCCTCACAGCCACTATCTGTGGTAGACACTATTATCATCTGACGCCCCCCATCCCTATATTTTCTTCTACTGGTTAAACAGTCTCTATTTTTTTCATCCACTTCTCATATGACATAGTTTCACATCCTCTCATCCTCTTAATAATGTTCCTAAGATCGTGCTCCAATTCATCTCTGTATCTACAAAGGGTGGAGACAGTCACAACATGAGGACCTAGGTTTTCTCTGATCGTCAAGGCTGTCACCTCCCTTATTCTGAAAACTCTACTTCTACAAATGCATATCGGAATGCGGTGAAAATATTTTTGAGGAATTAGTTCACATTTTGGATTCACATTGAATTTAATATTGATTAAAATCTCTGATTTTTCCTATCTGTGGTGCTGCTCTGCCACACTTCTGCCTGTACCAAAGCACATGGGGTGACTACCCTCTGAGATATATTTGCATCAAAGGGGGCCCATGCCTCCAGCTTCTGAAGACCTTACCTCTCAGTCACACCGGGCAAGATGAAGAACATCCAGAAGTGAATTCCAAACACAAGAATGACCTGGAAAATGACCTTTCCCAATACAGTCTTCCTGAGGTACAGTGCTCGGTCCACCACCATGGTTCCAAACTGAATGAGGACCATCACCAAAAACGGCCCAGGGACCTGGTCCTCGGACAGCGAGGAGGTGATGTCTGCTGCTGCTGAGTGTTTCTGGGAAGGAGACAACAGGTTCAGGCCTGAACACAGGACACCATCACTCTTGGATGTCTGGTGGCCTTCACCCCCAACCTACCCCAAAGGCCCAAAAGCCAAAGACGATGATGACGAAGTCGACAGTGTCAGCCAGGAACATGAGCACGTACACATCAGTCACAGCGCTGTAGTCTGGGTGGATGAGGTCGTAGAAGAACTGTCTGATGGGCACGTATATTTGCAGAGTCCTGCAAAACAGAAACCCCCCACTCACTTGCTTCAGGAGGGGCAGGAGGGGAGGAAGGACCAGATACTGCAACCTTTCTGTTCCTCTGCATTGCTCTTTCCAACCATGTCACCCCTCCCTCCATGGGCCTCAGGACAGTCCCACTGGGGGTGGCTCCTGCTCTAACAGAGAGTGCATGTAAGTTCTTTGCCAAGATAGGCCCAAGGGCCCTTTTTGCCAATGGGATCATGGACCTCTTCTCTTGCTTGAAGCGTAATAGAGTGGTATAACGCCCTGGAAATGAGGTGCTGGGTTTGTCTCCTGATTCAGTTACCCTCTACCTGTGAGACCTTGAGCACCTCTCTGCATTTTCGTTGCTTCTTCTGTAAACCACAGGTAGTAATAAGACCCGAGGCAAGGGGCTGAGGTGAGAATTAAGTGGGAATGTACTAAGGTGCTTAGCCAGAAGTCCTGACCCGAGCCCCAGGTAAACATTAGGGAGCCCCAGCTCCTCCCTTTTTCAGGCCCTGTGCCTCTCCTGTGCCCAGGCATTGCCCTGGGCTTGCTCTCTCCTCAATTATGTGAGCTCCTGGCTCTGGCCTGTCTGTCCAGCCTCTGCCCTATCTTCACTGTGCTCTGGGTTCTGCCTTCAATTCAAGGCCATGTTCAGGTGTGGACAGCCCTCCAGGTCTCGGAGCCCACATTCAGGGCCAGCCTGGATAAGGCTGCACCTCCTCCATCTCCACTCCTGTCTGCTGCCTGTCTGCGTCCCTGACACCTGGGGGAACCTGTGCATTTTTCTGGAGACTGGCTGTGCGATGTTGGACAAACCATTTTTCTGCCAAGGGCCTTGATTTCCCTTCCCTAGGATGAGAGTTTATTTCTAAGGCCCTTCTAACTTGGACATTGAATTCCTTTTTGTACTGTTGGACTTTACTGTGATAATGCCTAGAATTACATACTGTGAGCCCATGAAATTATTTATCTTGTTCAAAGAGAAAAAGTGTGTTTCTAAATGCAATGGATATAAAAATGAATCATACTTATTAGAAAATGATTTTTAAAAACAATATAATAATGGGTCATTTTATTCTGCCTTAAGCAGATGAAGTCTGTGATACAAGGAGTCACTTCTCTGCTCTTCGCCTCTGGTTTACAAGAAATAATTACACCAGTTCCCCAGCCCAAAAATAAAATACAGGACCCAAACTCATGCACTCACTTCTTTATAGTAAATGCTTTTGCTTTGATTAAATGTTCTTGAAGCTTTTCCATATAAAGCTCTCTTTTGCTTTTTTGCTTAACGCTCAAAACACTACTTCCTTTTTGACTGCTGTTTCGGGTGCTTGTGCTGCCTAGAAATAAAAAGAAACGAAGATGGACTGTGAGTTATGGGTTTGTTGACAAGAATATCGCAGAAGCCCCCAGAGCCCACAACGCAGGAGGACGGCTTGAAACTGTTTTAGAGGGTGAGTGGGCATAGACGCTGTAAGATGGGGACTGAGAATTTAGAATCTGCTGTCTCCACTCTACTGCCGTAGTAAAACTCGTTTGTACATGTAGTGCTGGGTCTTTCCTGGGTTGTCACGTAATTTTTGTCCCAGGAAGAAACACATCGCAAGAACAGTTTTTATAGTGCTAAACGGGGTCCTAGGTTGCAGGTTTTCAAGATTGGGTCTATGACCCAGGCCTTTTTTCATGTCCTAATTTCTCTAAGTGTAAAACGAATATGAGATGACCTGCCAGCGTCTGCCCAGAAAGTGTACTCTGAAGATGAATACTCAAGTGTTTGGAAAGCTTCAGACAGGAGCACTATAAATACAAAAGCCCAATTACTCTGAGTGGAAACTGTAAGGCATGTTTGCTTTCTGACTGTACTCGCTGTTTAGTAAGAAATTAATAACTAGTTGAGGAATTGACTAGATAGTTTTGCTAAAAGTTCCCATCAATTAAATCTAAATAGTCTTTTGAAACAGACTGATTTACAGCAGTCTGGACACACCCGCAGAATCTCTGGGTATGATTTTAAATCTACCGCGAGCCCAGCACTCACTAGGTACTAGGCAGTGTGCTGGCTTTTCACAATTATCTGATATCCTTGTCCTGGGGAGGAATCAGACATTTTGAGCAATGATGTGACTGCCCCAGGTCACTTGCACAGCTGAGCCAGGATTTGAACTTGGGTCTCTCTCACTTTGAAGCACTTCTTTTTCACATCACAATATCTATCTCTTTGGTAGCACCCAACCAACTCCCTCTGCCCCAGACCCGATGGCACCAGAAAAACGAGACAGCTAGGGGGTTATTCCAGCCCAGTGACCACATGACGGATACCTCTTTTGGATCTGTTTGAAGAAAAGCTGGACCTATGCGACGTCTGGGAGCTGCTGCCGGAGCGCTTCCTCCGGACAGCCGCCAGCTGCTCTGGGAAGGTCACGTGCACCGACTCCGCGGACGCAGCCAGGTTGATGGATTTCAGAGAATCGGAGGAGGCTCTTCGGCCGTGACTGAGGGAGAGCTCATCATCTGACTCTTCCTTGTCCATGCCACTGTCAGAGACGTCATCTTCATCCCACAAGCCGTGGCACTGAAAGTGGGAAGGGACAGCTCAGACTGCCGTTCCAGGTGTGGGAGCTGGTATTCTGCCCTCCAATATCTCATCCAACGAACTGTCCCCCAAGGTTAGGAAACCAAAAGTAAAACAGGGTGACTGTAGTTGATAACACTGTATTGTATGACTGAAATTAGCTAAGAGAGCAGAACTTAAATGTTTTGGCCACAAAAAAAAAAAAAAGATACATAGGTGAGGTGATGAATGTGTTAATTAACTAGGTGGGGGGCATCCTTTCACAATGTAGACATTTATCAAATCACCATGATGTATGCTGTAAATATCTTACAATTTTATTTGTCAATTATACCTCAATAAAGCTGAAATTTTAAAAAAAATATTAGAAACCAGGGCAGGGTAAGGGATTCTAAGAAACCTTATTTCCCATAATTTTATGATAGTCCCAGCAGAGTGGAGATGGGTGGGTGTAGATGATAAGAGTTTGGCTAATTAATTGAGATGGAGACAGATAATGTTTTGCAGATGGAACAAAGGTGAAATTATAGTCACTTGACTTGTTCCTTGAGTCAAAGCACCTTCCAGAACACATCTCTCCGTGCTTACTACCAGCATTTGAAGTATCAGCAGGTGAATTTAGCCCCACTGCCTATGTTCACCAAATATCTACTTGAGTAATGATGCTGTCCCTCCCCTAGCCTGTAAAGCAAGATGTGGATCCTTGAATCATCCATGGCTGACTTAGAAACAGAGCTGCAAATACTTTACTCAAAAAAAGTTGGCTCACGTGTGAGATAGAGATTATGATGCATTCTACAGAGCCTGGTGTTTGCTTCAAGGAATGGGATAAAAGAGGCTGATAAAGAGGGGAGGAGTGAAGCAGAAGAGGAGGCTGAGAACCAGGGCCTTGCTGGGGTGCGATGCTACCTGGACCACAAGTCACCTTTACGATGACCTTGCTGTTGTTGGACGAAGCTCTCCAATGAGCTCACTGCCTCCTGACTGCTCAGACTGCCAGGCTATGCATTTCTTCCCCAGGACCTCGCCCAATCCTCCCTCTGATGCATACTTCAGAGGATGAGAGCTCCAGCCCAATTTGCCAAAAATCGGTTGCTTAAAAACCAACTCGTAGAATAATCAATTCATCAAAAGACAAAATCACCTAATTTACGGATTATTCTTAAACATTTACTTATAGATATATTATTTTTTAAACATCCATGAATATATTCTTATAAACATAAACATTTTAGATTTTCATAGTGGGATTTTTCAATTTATATCGACTTTCAAAAGTTTTCTCTTTTGCCAACATTTTAACATACTTAGATTCTTTTACTACTTTCTTAGTAGCATATTTATTTGTTTGTGAACTCTTCCAATTATTTATAAAATTTACAGCAATTCATACTAAATAGGAAAGTTTTAACCACCTTTGAAATTTCCCCATTATTTTAATGGTTTGGTTTTCATAGCAGCATTGTTTAATAGGTTTATTTTTTCAAAAGCTGTAGGTGGTTTTGTCTTCTTACAAAAAGATTTGGCATTCCAAAAACTATTTTTCACATCATTAGCCAAAATTTCAGCATAATAGCACCTCAAATAGATTCACCACATATATGAAATTTTCAAAGAAGAAATCAGAGTAAGTATATCAATATGAAACACCAAAATTTTGTTTATTGTATGCTTTAAATATAAAATTGTACCTGTTAAACCATTTAAATATTAATGAAAAAATAGCAAAATGCCTAAAGGTTTAAACAAATTTTTCAAATGACATGAGAAAGGATACAAAAGTTGCAAGAGAATTCTGAAGTGGCCAAATTATACCCTCATGCCTTTTTCTTTTTTTATTGAGGTATAATTAACCTATAACATTATACCATCACGTCTTAAATGCTGAAATTTAAAACTTTAATTTCTAGAAATAAAAAAGTAAGGTTAATACATTTATTAATATACTCATAACAAGAATAGCAAATTGGACAAATTCAGGTAATTTATCAGAAGAACTGGAAAATGTAGGCAAATTCCATTTTGGCCAGCTGGTTTCCTTGGATAACATACCTTTGCAAAATACCCCAGTGACCCTGGTAATGCTCCCCCACAATGGAGGGTTAGGGGCTTGGGCACTTTGCAAGGTGATAGAAGAGACAGAGTGAAGATCTTGACCAAGGTGTATGCAGATGAAACCCAGTTTGAAATAGCCCCTGAGCAGGAATGAAGTTGAACACACGGTTACATAGGTAGGCGTGCATGTTTGTGGGTATGTATATATGCATTAACTTAGGCCAAGCTTGATCTAAAAAGGAACTAATAAAGATATTACTTGATAAAATGAATTAAAAATATTTTATAAAAGGAGACAAGGTTAAAATAAGAGAAGGAAGGTAAGATTGTGACAATAGGCACGTTGGTACATACAATGTATGCTGTGCAATGATTTCTCATTTTTAGAGTTTAGTGGCATATTTACAAGCTTAGCTTATAATTCACATTGTATGAGAAGAAAAAAACCCACACATTGCTCAGGAGGATGACAAGGGTTACTGAGCTTGAGACGGGTCATCCTGCAGGCAGAGCGTGTAATGACTGGCTTTCTCAACAGTAAGCTCACAGGGAGAACCACCTGGCTTCACTGGACCACTTAATGTGTGGCCTTTACTAAAGCTAATGTTTCATGACAAGAAATACCCAATCAAAGCAATTCTACCAAAAGAAGGTGGGCAGAAAGTAGAATGGAGATGAAAGGCAATATAATCCACCCCAGACTGTAGCTCTCTGATGCTCTGGCTTAAACCCGGAGTAGAATTTAGTGTGTCAGACATTAAGATACTGCACACCATCCAGGCAATTCCCACATACATGGATTATTTGTGATATGTTCAATCCAGGGTAGAGATACGGGGAAATTTCCTCTCAGATTTGTTACAAGTTTTATTATTGAGCACACAACGTGGGAGAAAATGTCCACATAACTGTCTGTTAAAAAAAGAAAGAGCACACAAGTAGATGCCACCCACTGGCCCCACGGCCCACCACCAATCCCAGTGTTCAGGCTCTCCACGGACAGGCCGGGGCTGCCGTGGTCAGCATGTGCTGCTCAGTGCTAACGTGCAGTACCTTCAAAATTGATCGATGGAAAAACAGAGCCAGGAGCTGAATGAGATCATAAAGGACATAACCTTCTTTCTTCTCCACTCCTATGATATTAGGTGGGTGGTAAGGTTTATCTTTGTGCAATTCCACATTCTTGTTCCAGGGAAAGAACCCAAATTGAAAGAAATACTTGACCACAATGGCCACCTACAAACAGAGGACAGAAATTAAAAAGAAAATTACTCCTTTCAAGAAGAGTTATATATGAGAAACAGTGATATGAAAATTTAAGAAAAAGATTATTTCACAGGTTTGATGACAAGAATGCACACGGTTATGTGGAGTAATAACATTATCACTCTCACAGTCTACTGATTTCAGAACAAGCACCACATCTTACTTGCGCAGGGGCCTCCCACTGCAATGTATTCCACCGCAAGAGCCTTCAGTGTATGAGCGCCAGCAGGCTGTTCAGGACACTGCTCAAATGATTTCCTCTATTTTTGAAGAGTTGGCTAATTTATACTGATTTAATTAGGTATTTATAAAATTATTCAGCTATGAAAAAATGATAATTAGGACAAACTGGTAGAGAAAGATGTTTACATTTTCCATATTGCTTTAATTTGTCATCTTTATAAGCATATCACACAGTTTTGATGTACAGTTTTCACTTTCCTCCAGTCTCTTTCTTCTCACCACTTTATTGCTCACTAGAAGCTCTCCTCAAGAAGAAATAAACAGAAACGAAACAAACTGGCCAGCTGTGCTAGTAACTGGTCCAGGGTATAAGTGTTGTAGAGAAGTGGTAAGCTGAGACAGAAGGACAAACGGGAAAATCTGTGAGTTTCATGGAAGCAGACCTCTGATGTCTAGATCATCTGGAATTAATTGCAATATACACAATTCATCAATAAAAACACTTTAAATAAAGTCTTCTCTTGAGCTAGAGTCTCCCTTTAGCTTTTCTTCTCTCTCTTCTCTTTTACACAATCAAGCTTCTACAAAGAACAGTCCTGTGTTTCTCATCTTGGTGAAGCGCATCCCCACATACCGGATGCCACAGCAAAAACCTGGAGATCATCCTTGCCTCTCCCCTTCTCCCTCACACCCCAGCCAGCTTCAGTCAATCACTAAAACTCTTCTCATCTACCCACCCCTCTTCAACCTCATTGCCTTCAAGTTCAGACCTTATTATTTCTCACTCAGACAGTTAAAATAGTTTCCTGGCTGGTCTCCATGCCTCCACTTTCATTCTGTATAAAAACTTGCTAAAACACAAACCTGATGGAGTCACACCCTTGTTCAAATCTTTCAATACCAGGGGATAAAGTCCTGACATAAACCCTGTGGACAGTCCCAAGCCCCCTCTGCTGTGCTCTCCACGCACAGCCTGCCTTTCAACCATCATAAGCCACCTGCCATTCTTGGCACGTGCCAGGTTGTCTTATGTCTTACTTTGTTTCTTTGCAATGACCGGAGGTCACTGCTCTTCATCCTTTGGTGAACTTACACTCATCTCTCAAGACTCAGTTCTAAGTGCTTCCACTGAGGAGTCGCCGTGATAACCTCTCCACCCCAGCCAGCTGCATAGGGCACGACATCCGTGTAACTCTTGCAAAGTCTCTAATGCAGTTTTGTATTGTATTGTAGGGCAATTCTTTGTTTACATCATATCTGTTTGCCACATTACTCTGTGAGACATTGTGAAACATAAATATCTTTTTTGGTTTTTTTTCCCACTTATTTTTGGATTCTCATGCCTAGCATAGTTCTCAGGTTTTGGCACTTCATCCAAGTTGTAGAGTTAATTGACATAAACTTAATTTCCCACTTCTTCACTCCTCAGTGTGACAGAGAAAATGGAAAGCCCCAGTTTAACTTAACCAGGAAGATTTTATTTTTAAGGTGAAAGCTGTATAAGCATCTCTTTTCCCCTTCTTCCACTCCTAGGAAGAAACTCCCTCATACCGAGGAGGTACAGAATGGACCCAGTCCCTAAATAGGAGTCATGTCCTGCGTCATGAAGTCATGTAATGGAAGTAATATTTAAGATTAAGTATTTTGACAAGATTGTGATAGACAGGCTAATTAAAGTAATAGATATGTATTTGGCTTTACATCTTTTATTTTTATTATGCAAATAAGATACATGATATGAGTACTCTGAGTACTTTTAAGATGATTTAATATATAACTTTATTTTAATTTTACTGTTGAATTATTTATAAAGATTTATTATTTACAAAATTTCTAGACTGTGCACATCCATCACGAGTACTATCCTTTAAGAAGCAATTACAGTACTACTGTAAATGAATATTTTTCCTTATGAGCCAGGTAAGAAAATTCACCTTCTTCACAAACCTGAGAACACAAGAACCATGATGACCCAAGGCACAAAGTCTCAGAGCTTCCCTTTTCCCAGTTTATGGTTGCCATGGGAATTTGTGATCTTGTATATATTTAACAGGGCCGGAGAGAAAAGCACGTCCAAACAACTGGGCAGAGTGTCTCTCATCCCCTCAAGTGTGATGAAAACGGGTGGCAATTCCCCCTTTCTGTCATTCAGGTTGTTAAGTGGGTGCTTATATGACTTTGGGTTTTTTTTTTTTTTTTTATTGATGTTTTAATGGTTTCTAACTGTGAAATTTTGGGTTGTACATTTTTGTTTGTCCATCACCATATATATGACTCCCTTCACCCCTTGTGCCCAACCCCCACCCCCTGACTTTGGGTTTTGACATGTGGAAACTGGCTCCTAGGTTTAAAAATGGGAAATACATGTGTTGCATCAAACAATATTCTAAGTGCTTACTGTACTGTTAATTCAGTGTCCATTCACTGAACACCCACTGGTGCCAGGCACTAGCTTGTTTCTGTGTAACACTTATTATCTTAGTGGTCAATGTCATAGGGCTTCAAAAACCTACTCTGTCACTTGCCAGTTGGGTAACTTTGGGCCAATTATTTAATCTTACTAAAGCTGTTTCTTTATCTGTTAAACAGAATGATATTGGCACCTCTCTTGTGTGAGGTGTGTAATGTGAAAAGACGTATACAAATACTAGCACGAGATAACAGTTAGTTATACTCATTGGTCTGTCTGAGAGTATCCATCCAGCTGACTGTTCTGTGTGAACTGCCTGGGAGTTTGGCAGGCCCACCTAGAGCAACTGCCCGAGGCGATTTGCAGGAAGGTTCCACACAGGCCTACCTCTGTGTAGACAATGGCCATCATCCAGAACCGTTTGCTAGGCCTAGGGACAGACAGCATGGCCCAGAGGAAGATCAGAATGGGAAGCACCAGGGTGATCATGGAGGCAGAGACCATGTGGTTGAGGATGATCACGAAATAGCACACCATTTCTGAGCGGGCCACCAGCGTGTTGTACATGGCATAGAACAGCAGCAAGAACCGGGGCTGGCCAATGTAGAATTTCTCCGACTCCTCGAGCTCATCGTCATGGAACATCCTGTTAGAGTACACAACACGACAATAACTTTGTGCTTAATTTCTCCAAATGACTGATATCCATTTTGCACGATCTTTCCTGTCCCACGCCCATTCCTACATCCCTAGATTTCTTGTGGAGACAACCTCATATCACATGCATATAGAAAGAACTGTGAGCAGAAGCGTTTACTGCCAGTTTTTGCTAGTTCTAGCATTCAGTGATAGAAGCACTGAAATCGGTTTTGTCTTGGCAGCAGAGAATACCGGAAATCGTGTCTGTGTGCTGCAGACGCGGAGGCGGATTCGCGGCCTGTGCGTTTCCCGTGCGCAGCAGCACGGCGCGCACCAGGCGCTGGCTCCGGGCGGCCTTCCCCGTGCCGGCCCGCCCACCCGCGGCGCTTACTTGTTCAGCAGCAGCTCGCTGGCCGTCAGCTCGTGAGTCAGGGGCGGTAAGATGCTGGACTCCAGCCTGTCGGAGCGGCTGTCGTCGGGGCTGACCGCCATGTGGTTCCGGCCTGCAGAGCCATCCCGCGAGTCCAAGGACAGGCGCTCCAGGCTGACGGCCTTGCTGTAGGACGGCGGGGCTTCCTCGTCGCCCTCCTCACCATCCTCGGGGGCCTCCTCACCCGCCTCGTCTGCGTCCCCGACCCCCGCCTCCTCGGCCTCCTCGTCCCTCTCGGCTTCCTCGTCCTGCTCGGCTTCCACCTCCTCGATGGTTTCCGTGGTCCCCTGGCGCGAGGACAGTATGGTGCACTGGGTGGGCTCGCTGTCAGGAGAAAGGGGCGGCCACAGACCCTCGTCTTAGCGTCCAGCTCCTCCAGTCCTCCCAGATTCCCAAGACTCCTTCTCAGCACTCCCAAATAAAAACATGAAGGCGTGTGAGAAAATGAAATACCCCATTTCTCCCCTGCATTCCGTCTGCTTTGCTCCTTCAGGATGTTCACGTTTGGTCTGCAGAGACCGCAAACAGCAGCCTCTCAAATGCAAAAGCTGACTGTGCACATACCCGGTTGAAAACCAGAGCAAGTCACAGCTCATAAGTTGCTAAACCCACCTATGCAGAGAGATTTTGAACATTGTACCAAGATTCGCAGCCGTGGGTTCCAGGGTTTATTTCCAAATCAAGACAGAGTTAGCACAGCATACCTACCATTGTATACATCGTAAAGAAGAGTGCATATGGAAATGAGAAGCCTTGCCAGTTTGGGTCTCTGGGTGTTGGCCAAGATGTATTCTACTCTGTATGCAGTGGACCCGCCCAGACGGATAAGGGGAGGACAAGAATGACAGAATATTGGCCAAGCTGAACAGCTGCATGCTGTATGAAGAAATGGCATCCTTCTTTATTATCTGTTCCTCCTCCCAGTGCTTCCATCCTCTGCCTTTTTCTTACTGCTGATATGACATGTGACTGAATTTTCACCATCTCTCCAGCCCCCAACCATCTCCCATTGAGTTCTTTGCCCTACACATGGAAACACCTGCCATTTTCTCCTCCCCTGTGCCTCTCCTGCGGTTGCTTGCTCCACCCTCGGGTTGCATGCCTGCACTCTCTCCTCCCATCGCCTTCAACTTACTTTCTCCTCGTTGTTCCCCTGCTAGTGTTGATTTTCCATCAGCTTCTCTACTTTTCACTCTCTATTTTGGGCGTCCTGTTCTTTTCTCCTGCATCCCTCCTCTCCTTCTTTTAGTCTTTTATCTTCTAACTTCCCCTGCCAGGTCTGTGCAGGAAAAGTAGAAAATGAAAACACAGCAGCCACACCAGTGAAATTCGTGGCATGCCTGTTATTACTGTCCACCCCAGACACATCCTGGCCCGAACAGGAGAGGGGCAAAGATTATCTGAAGATGTGGAATCTGGTGGATGTAGGGCCATAATTTGTTAGACTCTGAAATTTGTACTGTTATCTGAATGGCATATAGTGAGCATCTAGGGTCCATAAACACTGAGCTTCTCAAATGCAAATTGTACTTATTTTTCTTGTCATGGACACCGGTGCAGACATGTCAATGAATGCATGAATGAATGAAAGGGCCTTGCCTGAGCCTTGAGACTGAAGAACCAGATTTGCAGGAGCCCTTGGTCCCGCTCCAGTATGTAACATTCCCAGGGCTTTGGCCTTAAGTGAGCACATCACAGAGAAGTCTCTTGGAATGCCAAGCCAAGCTGGCTCTTTGCCAACACTTACCTCGATTAGACACAGCCTCCTAGGAAGGCCACGAAATTGACTGATCACCCCAGGGAATTTTCAGACCTGGAGCAAACCCCACACCTGGTCTTACTTCCAGTTGGACTATAACCAATGACAGGCATGCTCTCTATGGCTTTGGATTTGGTCTGGCCCTGAGGGGATTCAGCAAATCCTGGTACCTTCAGGAATCAACAAAGTGGAATGACATATGTGCCTGCCAGAGGACATCTCAAATGGCCAAGGCATTCCCATTAATGCTAGGCTCCAGTGTACTGCAGCGCTGTGTTAGGATACATAGCTGCCAGCAAAAAGAAGTTAGCACCTCTCTAATTTGCCAAAATTGAAATCAGTTTTGGATTGGGTTATTTTGGGGTCAAGATAAGCACAATGTAGCTGATGCTCTGTGCCTCTGCTGACCATTCAAAAGCAATTCACAAAAGAGCTTTTGGATACTATGCAAATAATTTCATTTCTAAATGATTATTGTTTTATGGTAGGATTCAATGAGAAAACTTAAGCCCAAAGTAATCTTTTCCAAACAAAACAAGTTATGGTCTCCAAACAAGTTATGGTATCCAAAGGTGATAATTTCTACTGCATAATAATATTCTTTTAAAAAACCAATGGTAAAATATATTCTGATTTTATGTCAGTTATGCACATAATATGTGGACAGATTTATTCTGTATCAACTAAAAATGAGTACATATGGCAGATTTTCAGATTTTTCCCACTGCGTTTATCTTCTGATGAAATCTTGAGAAGAAGGTTTCTACCTTCCCTGTCACCTTTCCCCCGTGAGGACTGCCCACGTGAGCTCCCAGTCAAGGAGGAATCATGCTTCTCCTGCTGAAAACGGAATATGTGAAATACTTACAAAATGGAAGACAATGTTTGTAGGAAGGAGTTTTAAGAAACTCTTAACAGACAAAGACTAGAGAGCGATTAGTTTAATGGAATGCCATCCTGGGAACGACCAGTTATGTCCTAGAAAGGGCGGTGGTTATGCTTTTGTTAGTCATGCAAATTCTTAAAAAAAAAAACAAACACATCACAAGAACTTATATTTGCAATGACAGGAAGGGGGAAATGTGATAAAATTACAGAACAAAGCATGCACGAGTTAAGCACCTGGATGCTAAACTGCCACTGTCAGCTGATGAGGAGGACATATCCATGCTGAACATTTTACGGAGCCTAGGTCGAGCACGCTCACTTGTTTTAGGAACAGTTTCTGGTCCATCTAAATCATCAAGGGTAGACTGCCTTGAGAACAGCATGGTTGCTTCAGTGTAGCAGCTAGCAGCGCAAACAGTTACAGAGACACAGTGTTAAATGCCAGTGGTACATCAGTTCACACATGGATCAACTGACCAACACACTGCCATGCAGCAAACCACACGCGACACCAACGCCACTGACAACTATGACCGCCACAGCGGGGTTCAAGGACAGGAAAGGACCTGTTTGGCAGGACAATGAAACACAACAGTACTGGATTTTTAAAAATATATTGGCTAGTGATAAATTATGAAATGTCACTTTCTGGGAGGGACAAGGAAATAGAATAACTGCAAGTCCCAACATTTCTCTCACAGAGAAGAATTCATATCTTTATAGCTTTGCAACTGAGGATGCTTGTAATTAAAGAAAATATGTTTTATTTGGAGCTTCCAATCTGAGTCCATTGAGAGCATTTTGTAACCAAATTGCTTAAGCAGAGCTATCTGCTCATGTAAAATTTATATAAAAGATTTCAATCTTGTTTTTTTTTTTTTTTTTTTAACACAGTATCCAAAATGAGAGAGGGAAGCTCAGGAATGACCACAGCAAACTGAATTTTCCACCCCATTTTCTGAGTAATATTCAGTGAAGCCAAACTCGATGCCTTGCATGGAGAAGAGATGCTGGTTTGAGATGCAACTGGATATAAACCAACATCAAAAAAATGAAATAAAATGGTACAAAGAAAACAACAAAGGAAGTTTAGCAATGGCAGGGTCATTTTGTCTGTTAACTCTTCATTTTGCTTAATGAACTTTTTCTTCTGGATCACGTTTTAAGTCTTGGCAGATGTCATTTGGGCGAGAACCCACTGGCTAAAATCCTCAGCTCCTTTACCCAATGGAGCAACAATTGGGAAGGGAGTGATGGCCAATTCAGGACTGAGATGCTACTGGGTGAGGCTACTAACAAGAAGAAGCAAAGAGAGTTATGGCATGGGCATGATTTCAGTTCAGACATCTAGTTTAACCCCAAAGGCCAATGAGGGCAGCTACTGGAATACAGTCTTCCAACTTGAGTGCTAATGACCTGGCGGACCCAGGGGAACAGGCTCTTGTGATACAGAATGGATTGCCCGGTGATGCTGTTGGCTGAACATTATCATCAAGTGACCGCACTAGGAGACCTACTGTGTGCACATCCTGAACTGCCAGATGCCCTCAGTCAGTAATTGTGAGGCAGGAATGGAAACCATTCAGGCTGTACCAGCCTCTGGGGGTGGGGAGTAGGGACTATGAGTCACTGGCTCATGGAACCAGTTAAAGGGCTCTTCACGTTCCAAGTGCTTGAGCTCAACCCCAGCAGTGTGCTAGTGGGGCCATCCTGCTGTGCATGTCAGACAGGGGCAGGGCAGTGAGGGAGGTGAGCATGTAAGCAAGCAGATGGTTGCTAATAAGCACATGAAGACTGATTTCGTAAGAAGGCCTTAACTCCTTTGGATGGGACCCAAGGTGGGGTCCCATTTTCATCATCTATGACATGAGGGAACTGGATCATTGAGTTTCTGTATTAATTTCATATTTTTAGAGGTGTGATCCCATGGCCTTTTAGGGGTTTTCAGGCAGAAAGATACCTTGTACCCTCTTCTGCCTTACTGCTCAGTTTCTCTCAAGGGAACCCTGGTTCTAATTCCAAAGTCCTATTGATCTTGTTAATTCTTGGGTCGAATTCTCCTGTCACATCAGCCCGCCTTCAGACCCTATACAGTCTCACACAATTGGGTTATTTGTAGTGTGACCCATTTGTCATCCAAGCCAGGACAGTTTTAAATGCGAAAGGGACAGGGAGGAGCTTTACAAGAGCAGGGCCAGGTGACAAGCCTAAAGGGATGGACAGTGGTCGTCACTTCCCTGATCAGGCCTGCACTTGGAGCAACCTCTAGGTGACATTTCTCAAATGACAATCACTCTCTTCTTATGTAGGAATGCTCCTTAGAATGTCGCTAATGTTTCTTGCAGCAATTTAAACTAATTTATTTTCTGAGAAGGTAGATGATATCTGATTTCATGAAACAACCGTTAAAAATATAAGTTGCTATTTTACATCTGGATTTGAAGGAAATTGTGACTATTCCAGTAATTTAAAGGGAAGACAAATTCACTTGGTAGGTTCCCACCTCAACCTTGTCTACTGTATGCCCAAAAGTAAAAATAGGTGACATGGATGCCAGAGCAGGAGCTGTGGCAGGTGGGATGGCTCCACCCAAGGTCGGTCCTCTGCAAAGGGGGTGGGGCCACACTAAGCATGCCAGTACCCACTGGGGGATGATACTAGACCCTGCCCAATGACACAGGTGTCTGAGAAAGAGCTTTGACACTCGGAATCCCTTCTAGGAAGATGACCGCCTTTCTAGCCATCAGCATGGCTTCCTTAGACTGCAGTGTAGACAAATAATTGGAGATTTGAAAGTTTCCTAAAGCAAAGAAAAAAGGAACGTGGCTCAGCCATTAAGAAAAGGGCAAACGTGAACTCATTTACTAACAATGTAATGGACCATATTGTGTTCCCACTTTCTTTAGGTTGAAAACAAAAAGTAAAAATACCTTAAAAACTAATTTTAAAGCTACTGGTGTTCTACTAGTAAGTTCACTGATTGACCATTTTTAAATTTTGACAGTCTTTGTTAAAAAGCAATCAATGGATTTAAATACCTCCTACCTCACGATTCTTGTTCATGGATACAGTTTTATATTTGCCATCTTGGGTCAGATTTAAAGGCAGTCACTTGATTTTACTATAACCTGTCTTTCTTATTATTTTTTTTCCTCCTAAACTGTGATTTATAATATTTAGTTAATTTCTTAATTGGACATATTTTCAATTGTTATGCAGTTAAAAGTTACTAACATAGGAATTATGTAAGTTTATTTTATGGAAAATCTATTTTCAATTCACTTTCTCATACTCTCTTGGCTTCATCTGACTCAGAGTTGGGATCTGTAGCAGCTATTCTCAAGCCAGGCTCGTGGATAACAGCCAGGAGGCCTGTGGAACCCTTGAAAATTTATGGGAAAAATATGTATTTTTGTGCACTTTTCCCCTTTGGGAGATAGTATATAGCTTCATGAAATCTCAAAAGAGGTTCATGAAAAAAGTTACCAACCACTGTTAGTGTCATTGCAAATTAACGAAGAAAGGCTATTCCATCCTTCTCCTTTTTACTTGCCACGCTGAGGGATCCAGCTAATAAAAAAATCTCTGTGTTATGAAACAAGGCAAGAAGGGAGGAAAAATAAATTCATGTGAAAAAATATAAATGACATGGGGCAGCATTTTTTTGGAGAACAGATGCATACATGTGATAATCAAATTATATACTATGCATGTATATAATTGCATTCTTCACTATGTGGGGGGAAATAATTCCAATTGAATATGAACATGACTTGCAGTTAAGTTAACCAGAACTGTCTGAAGCCTTTCATTTTGGAATTCAGAAAGATTCCTCTTTCAAACTCTTTTAGAGTTTGCCTCAGACCCCGTCCATATTCAATAAATGCAGAGCAGTGCAGTCCAAAGCTGAGAGATGTTTGTACATGGTGTACAAAAATAAATGCATCCATAGAAGAGATTTATAAAGGTATTATTTATAAAAAATATATATTTATTTATTACAATAAAAATATATATTTATTTATTACAATAAATAAATATATTTTGGAAAATGTACATCTAGAGTATCTCAGCATTTTTCTCATCCTACCATTCTCCTCTTTTTTGAAAAACGGTTGTTTGGTCATGAATAGGTTATAAAGTGGGTGGACTGGAAACTTTTAGATTCCCCAGTTCCCTTTCATTCACCCTGTAACTAGGAAGCAGTGATAGTCAGCACCTTGAATACTCCCTACGTTCAGATGAATCTTGCCTCCTCCGCACGCCCCCGCCGACACACCTGTGCACTTCTGCACACATGCCCGCGTGGTCTCCATTTATTAGTAAGGGAAGAGCTACCATGAAATAAGGAATATGTATGAGCCTGGGTAGAATGGGGGTACAAGTGGATTTTCAATTTTAGCATGAATATGAATTAAAGAGAAATTAATTCAGTTTAAATATATCAATCAATAGATATAGAGGGAATGGTTGCAACAAGAACAAACTTAAGAAGGTAGGCCGCTTCCAAATAGGACAGTTATTATGGTTTGCAAAAAATAAAAATAAAATCCAAACAATAGTGACTTTTTGTCTCAACAGAGTCTGTCAAAGGAGACGGAAGCTCCCCTTTCAGAATTGCCGATTGTGAGACTTTTCAGGAGGGCACACAAGGGGGCGAGGTCAGCACTTGCCAATCAAAACTAAATTTTCACTTTGTAACTGATATTACTGATGGTTTCAGAAATTAATAATTGAGAAATGTGCATATGTTGGGCAGAAAGAGAATGAGAAAGAATGTGTTATTACCATGCCCATTGTTCTAATAATTATTTTGTTCTAGGAATTAAAAGCTTCTTGAACAGGATCTCAATTAGCAAATAAATGTTTTGACCTTGAAATCCTTCAGAGTTTCTGTCCTGAGTGTTTCTTCTGCCCACAAAAATACATAATAGCTATAATATATCTATTTCTTTAGAACTTATAAATAAGCAAAGATTATTCCCAAATTTAAGGAAGAATATAATATCTTTTATTATGCCTCAAAAGACTTTAAAAGAATCAATACCTAATTTGGGGGGCTGGAAGTGATATAACCATGAAGAATTTTATCTGTACAAAAATCACATTTAAATCAATGTATGTATGAATACACATACTTTTTAAAAATTAAAATGAAGTTGTAGCATACATTCTATTTAAAATTGAATTTTTCTAAAAAATAAAAAAAAAATATATATATACGATGAATATCTTTCCTACAATAAACAGATCTGCCTCAATAAATAATTATTGAGTAGCAAAAGAAAGGCACAATTGGAGAAGCTCAAATATAGCAATTCAGCCAATAGCTAAAAACAGCACTTCAAGGTGAAACATTTTTTTACCCACCTCTCCCTGTTCAGGTTGCAATTTCAACTTCTAGTGATCTATTTTGGGTTTCGTATTGATCGAGTAGTCTCAGTTCCCTCCCCTATTTCGTCCTGTAACATATTCAGCATTTGTGAAGGGCGAATATCCCACCAGGCCCCTGTGCTTGCTCAGTGTATGCAGTGTGACAGAGGAATTCAGGAGCTTCTAGACCAGCAGTCAAGACGCAGCCCATCTCTGCTGTCTTTTTCCAGCAGGAATCTTAGCCCAGAGGCTCTTCCCAAGGTCAAACCTTTTAGAGATGACTCTTATCTTTATATCTCTATCCCAGAATTGAGCCCAGGGCCTGGCATGGAATAGGTGCTTTGTAATATGTCTAATGAGAACCATAAATACAAGAATGTCCTCTCTGGTAAAATTCTTTTCCTATAAAGATGGAAACAAGGTGTAATTCATTCAGTTTAGCTAATCACCCTAAGAAAGGCCTTCTGCTTTACTCAGAAGATAGCTCTGTGCAATCGACAGCAGCTTTCTAGAACACTGTGAGCAAAGAATCTGGAGGCTTTTCTGGGATAGGCAGTAAGAAAGACAGGTCAGTTCTCAAAGTTGGCCTGGAGTGCAGGAAGAGGCATTGAGAGGCAGCATACCACGGTGGTTGAGAGCTTGGACTCTGAGCTGAAGTATGTGGTTTTGAATCCTGGGTCTGCTTCTATATACTTCTTTACTGTGTGACTTTGGGAGAATTACTTAACCTCTCTGTAACTGAACTTTGTCTTCTGTAAAATGGGGATGATAATAGCATGCCTCTTGTAGGGTCTTATAAAGACAAAGAGAGGTACCCCCTGTACAGTGCTGAGTGCTGGCCCATGGTCCCTGTTGTGAGACAATGCAGGTGGTCACACGACTCAGGGAAGGTGGAAGCTGACAAGATCACGTCTCGAATGTTTACTATGAACTGTACAGTAACAGCTCTGAAAGGAAAAGATCAAGGATAGCAACAGACGGCAGATGATTCTCGTATAGAAGACACTTTGAAGCAGCATTTTAAAAAGGCATTAAAGGTGCTGCTCTGATACGAATAGTAATTCTGTGATAGGGAAGGCTCATTCTTACGTGCCGCCAGCTTAGAAATCTCTGTCCTGTGCCTGTGAATCACGTGGGTATTTCTAATAGTTTATTATCAATTCCTGATTTAGGATCTAGGAAAGGACAATATTCCTTTTGCTTTGTTGTAAACATGGAGATAGCCTGAGGAGGGTGGGGTCCATGTAAGTTTTTGATTAACTTGCACTTCATCCATTCATTGCTCGCATTGATGAAGTCCACCACTTTTACCTTCATCAAAAGCAAACCCATTGTTTAGAACGTGAAATACCTGGAGATACTGTCATGTGAATCTAAGCTATCCATCCTGTGGGCTGTCTGTGCACCTGAAGCAGCACCAGGACGGTCGTCAATGGTGTCCAGTCCAGACTCTCGGGACAGGTTCATGATGTGGTTCTGATAGTACATGTGGATGCTCTCCCGAGTGGGAACGTTGCCCTGCGGAGAGGGAGACAGTGCCACAGTTCTTACTTGCCTGTGCAGCCACCTGGCATTTCTCAATACCGACAGCTCTCAGCCATCACACACTCCTTGAATAAGGATTAAAACAAAGCTAGTAAAGTTGGCGTTGGATGTCAGCTCATTGAATTAATGGTACCCAATATTACTGGGTTATACTAAACAAGAAATCCCCTCTTATATGTAGATAATTTCGCTAAGTCATAGCAACTTTTCCAGAAATGAACTATTATTCTGAAATACAATCTATAAACCACATATGACTATATTTTGTAGCTCTTCATATATCTTAATTTTTCCTATGAGAAGTTTCAAATCAAACTTCCCAGACCAAACAACATCATTCTTTATGGACATGACAGTCCGTGCATCTGCAAACTCTGGTGAGGAGGAGGGATAGAATGAATAAACTGGCCATTATCCCAGAACTCTGTATGTGTGTGTGTGCAGGGCCTGATTATTTTAATTCTGAGCATGGAACAGATTTAACTATACAGAAGAGCAAGGGGGTTATGCAAAGACTCTGGAAAGAAAGGATTTTGTCTTATCCAACTTGGAGTTCTGGATACTGACTTTTAAAATCTTTACAATGTTGGGGCCGGCCCGGTGGCGGAGCAGTTAAGTGCACACGCTCTGCTGTGGCGGCCTGGGGTTTGCAGGTTCGGATCCCGGGCATGCACCGATGCACCCCGCATGTCAGGCCATGCTCTGGCGGCGTCCCACATAAAGTAGAGGAAGATGGGCATGGATCTTAGCCCAGGGACAATCTTTCTCAGCAAAAAGAGGAGGATTGGCATGGATGTTAGCTCGGGGCTGGTCTTCCTCACACAAAAACAAATCTTTACAATGTGGAAAGAAGCAAAAAGAATTATACCAACAGTGTTACCTTTTTAATTTCTCTGGTCAGCATGCATCTTTCAATTCTCAGAACGGTGGATATATCAATATGCTCCCTTGAAATGGAGTTAAGCCAAGTTGTGAAACTATCCACTGTTGCCAGAAACAGGACCCAGGTAAATTTCAAAATATTAAATATTCTCTTGATGATATTATCTAGGAGGAAAAAAAGCAACCAGATTTCAAAGGAACAAAGAACCATCAACCATTTTGCTGCTGTGTGGCGCAGTGATGTTTTACCAAAGGCAGACCTGGCTGTGGCCCTGTGCACCTCATACAGGTGGGGCACGTGACACTCAGCAAGACAGGGCCACAGGGGAGGACTGCAGGACAGGAGGCTATGGGTGGGTCTCTCCACACATGCACTGGCAGCATCAAAACCAACCTAGGGTAGAATTTTTACCCTTTGGTCAAAACATCAGTCAGAACAGGTCCATATACACACAATAGGTTTGATTAAAAGTAGAGATTGCATTCATGGAGATTTCTGTTATTGACACAGGGATAGAAATAGTCGGCATCTATCCAGGTAACTGCGTCCTTTAATGCTTTTTCTATGTTTCCTGAATAATTGTTGAAAAAAAGTCTGCTGATTCAGGAAGGCTTGGATGCTTCCCACTGCAGACGCATTTCAGTTAAGTCACCTTAAAGCTATTTTGTAGAGTACACATATGAAGAGTGTATCTAAACCACTGTATTATCTTCATCATTCTTATTTGATTGTACTTAGCTGCGCTAACAACAAAATTCTGCACATGGGATCAATCCTCTCCAACGGAAGCCGTGAGGTTCCTGATGTACTGAGGTTCTCTGCCTTATCTGTGGCTGTGCCTTGGGGAGCCCAGGAAACCTGCTCAGCTCAAACTGCCGTCGTGTCCATAACGTTGTCTCCACACAGCACACGCCTCTCCGGTGCCCTCAGAGAACGTAACACCAGCTCCTCGATCGCTGACAAGATTTGAGGAGGTTCCATAACTGTGACCTCACTTATTTTAGGTCAGAATCAAAATAAAAGAGGGAAGATCCCATATTAACTGTCTGTCCTAGTCATTCATTCGTGTAACCAATGGTTTCTCAACTGGGATGCAAGGAATCCTTCAACATGTTTCACCAAATTTCAATCAGTGTGCAATTTTTTTATTTGGCACTTAAAAATTTCAGTCTTATTAACTATTTCAAACACTGACTGTGATAAAGGGAATACTTAGTGAACATGGCAGTGAATTAAGAATTGCCTTACTGTTTATTAAAAAAAAAACAAAACAACAAATCACCACTACCACCACCAACACCAAGAAAGACAGCTTGTATCTTTCACCTTTCCCCTCATCAAAAAGAAAAAGAAAACCAGATTCAAGTGTTATAGTAAAATCTTAAGGAATTATGATTAATGATTATCATTTGGAATTGTAGTTTAAAATCATTAATATAGCATGGAGAAAAGGGCAAAATTCACTGAGATAAGCGTTTATGATCCTGGGCAGGGCCGGATAGTAAATATTTTCAGCTTTGCAGGCCATACTGTCTTTGTTGCAACTACTCATGTCTGTTGTTGTGTTTGAAAGCAGCCCCAGACAAAGAATGAATTGTCTATGAATGGGCATGGCTGGGTTTCTAATAGAACTTTATTTATGGACACTGAAACTTGAATTTCATAATTTTCATATGTCATGAAATACTCTTCCTCTTTTGATTTTTTTCAGCCATTAAAAATTATAAAAGTCATCCTTAGATAACAAGCCTCATAAAAAACAGGTGGCAGGTGGGATTTGGCCCAGGGGTCATATAGTTTTCTGACCTCTAATCCAGTGTAATCAGATGCAACCACTGAATGACTTACCCTGCTCTCCACTAATCCTCTCTCTCTACTTTAAAGACCACAGTGTGAATCAGAGTTTGACTTTGTAATTGAAAAAAAAGTTCTTTATGAATTGGGTGGCCTAGAAGGAAGGCAGAATGTCTCTCAGGTTAAAGGTTTGCCCTTTTCAAAAGGAAAACCATCAACAGGAAGTTTAGCTATGAATGGTATGGCCTCCAGACAGAGTCCAGATGGGTAAGGTGGAGACAAAGAAGAGTTGAACAGTTCTACCTACTGAAGTAACAGGAATCTTGGAGTTGTCAGCTGGTACCTGGAGAAGAAAACTGGGAATCTGCAAAAGGAGATGGGGGGATGATCTAGTGAAGCCAGGCCCCAAGGAACCAGCTGGTGAGAGATCTGCTCAGGTGGGAAGAGTGATGGCTGACTTTCTCTTTGAAGTTGTTTCCTGCCTGTGCTGTCACTACCCCACTGTCCCCAACACCTCTGTAAAACTGTGTCGCACCTAACAGTCACACCTGAGGTGTACTTCAGGGAGCAGGGACATGAGAGAGTATCCTTTGTTGAGCAAAGAAGCCCAGGAAGGGAACAGCTGCTAGATGAAGCTGGAAGGAGTGAGGAGCTACAGATTCCACAGAAGAGCAATTCTGAGCAAGGGAGGAACACTTGAATTTCTCTTTTGACCCCACACCCCTATTCTTGTTTTACTCTTGAGTAAGGTATGCATTTCCCACAGGAGTTTGGATGGAACCTCTAGCTGTTTTGTGCAGACATAAAAGGAAAGTTTGGCCCCCGGAGGCTGGAGGACTTGGGGTTACACCTACTAATAAACTTTAGCAGCATCTTGTATTTTTGACAACTTATTTTTTTTCTCATATTTACAATTATTTTCTTAGCGGTGGTAAAGATAAACACTTATTTCACAGTTTTGCTTATGGTGGTTTGATGGCAAAACTAAAATTGCTGTGTTGGAGACACACATAACATTCACTTTAATAATTTGGAGGATCACAAACTCACATGTGAAATTAGAATTTCTATTTTTATTTATTTTTTAACCATAGAGGCAGTAGAGTGTAGTGGTTAAGAGCACAGACTGTGGATTCAGATTCTTTGGGTTCAAATCCCAACTCTACCCCTTAGTGGTGGTGTAGACTAGAAAAAGTCAGCTAATCTTCTTCGGCCTCAGTTTTTATCGGTTAAAAAGGGTTTTTGAGGGTGTTAAACAACTTAATGAGCCCAAACCTCTTGGAAAAGTACCTGGCAAAGAAGATGTGCACTCTAAAGTGTTAGCCACTATCATTGTATAGAACTTCGCAGCAATAATAGATTATCTGGCTCCATATACATGTGAGTCAAATTATCCGGAAATGGAGGCCAGGTTTAACGATTGTGCCACAGATGGTGTTAGACAGCCTTCGAGAAGTCTCATTTTGTGCCAGCAGATGGCATCCTTGGAAGTATTGTGTCCAGAGTAAAAGAGCCTGAAAATCTTGCCTGCTGATAATGATGAACACAGGCATTCCAACCCCATGAGACAGAGGAACCGGCATGTCTATGGAACTAGAGAGGCATTTAAGTTCATTTCATTGGGAAGTTTTTGTTTTGCCTTTTTTTTTCCTGCATGGAGAAATCTTCCTCCCAATCACATACTACGTGAAGCTCCAAAGGCACTGTGACTGGGGGGATGTTAGAGGACATGGATTCTGTCCCTGGCTCTGTCACTTAGTAGCTGTGGAATGCTGAGCAAACTCACTGGGATTTGGTTTCCCCTCATAAAATGAGGAGGCTGGCCCAAGCTTCTAAAGTACCTATCATTTCCCCAACTATACTTACCTCTCATTTAACTCCTTCTTTCCAGGTTCTTTAAAATTAATTGTCAATATTTTTTGTGCCTCTATTCTGATGGCTTCCATGGGGCATTTCTGATTTTCTCCCTAAACCCCCCTTTCATAGGTACTTGGATAAAGGAATTTACAAACCAGCTCTAATCCAACAGCAAAGATCAGATCTACTTTGAGAGTCATTTGCAGCTTCACTAGAGATGAGATTTCAAGGGACACTGATTATTTAGTGGTAGTCTGGAGCAGGATCTGATTATTCTCAGGCAGCCTTCCACTACATACCATCCGGGCAAGTGTCATTGTCAAATAGCCCCGCTCGTATTTGTCTTCATTTGTTACCTGGTCCATCAGACTTCTTTTTGACTGGTTCATCCTCTCGATCTTCCCACTCTACGGGACCTGCCAAGTGTGTTAACAAACATGAGTTAGATCTTTTGAGGGTAAATTGCATGCCAACACTTTTCTTCTGGATTAAAAGGGATTTTAAAATTAATCCAGAGCATTCTGCCTATTTAGGAGTTCCTGGGGAAAAGGTGTAAGAATGCATAGCTTTCAGATTCTCTTTACTCCATTCCAGAATAAGAATCATGTATACAGGGGTGGTAAGCTATAATCCGCTGGTCAAATCTTGTCACCTTTCTGTTGTTAAACGGACTGTGAGTTCAGAATGGTTTTTATATTTTTAATAGTAAAAAAAATCTAAAAAAGAATAACGTTTTGTACTTGTGAAAATTACACAAAATTCAAATTTTAATGGAGCAAAGCCACACCATTTGTTTATGTATAGTCTGTGGCTGTTTTAGCCCAACAATGGCAGAGTTGAGTTGCAACAAAGACTTATGGTGTGCAAAACTTAAAATATTTACTATCAGGCCCTTTACAGAAAAAATGTGCCGATTCTTGATACATACTATGAAATTTTAATTTTGAATACCTTGGGATAATGTTACAGATTTTAGTTTGTCACTCCCTAAAATGACATCATAGGGTTTCATTTTAATTTTTAGCCTCTTATTTGAGGCTAAAGTTGTCATATCTAGCAAATAAAAATACGGGACACCCAATTAAATTTGAGCTTAAGATACATAACAAATAATTTTTTAGTATAAGTTCTGTGCAATATGCCCACATTACACTTAAGCTAAAAAATTATTTGTTTTTTATCTAAAAAAGTCAAATTTAACTGGGCTTCTTGAATTTTATCTGGTAACCCTATCTAAGACCATTCATGATCTGACTCCAGTTAATCTTCCCAAACTTATTTTCTGCTGTGCTATTTTCTACTACTCTGTCTCACATCTCGTCTCTACCAGCTAAGCTGACCTACTCTTTGTTTTTCATACATGGTCTTGCTTTCTTCTCCCAGAACGTCAGGCTTTATTCAAACGCTATCTTTTTTTTCATTGCATTCTCTTACACTCTTGGCTACAAGTAATCTTTTCTCCCTCTGGTCCCATGCTATTTCATCTTATTTTGTAAATGGAACTTCGTGGTTTCTATGTCATTGGGGATTTTTTTACACTTGTGTTTAAGAGAGAAGGGTCTAGAGCCAGGATGCCTGGTGTGAATTCCAGACCCACCACTCACTGAATGGCTGTGTGACCTGAGGCACTTCCTTCCCTCTTGGGGACCTCCTTTCCTCATCCCTGTAGAGCAGGGAGAACAAAATGCCCCTGGGCCATTGTGAGGGTCAAATGAGTTACTGTAGAGAAAGCACGGACATCAGCACCTGGCCCACTGGAGGGACAGAATCTGTGTGCTTCATCTGTCCGAAAGAAACCTACCAGAGACGACGCCTTGTACCAAGAAGATGCTGAATAAATATTTATTAAAGGACTAAATAAACATTTATTTCAGCCCCGATATCTTTGAATTATTGCTGTCTTTGATTTGTAGGTAAACAGTGGTGCACCTGCACATAAAATCACCTTCATGATACAGAGGAATATTTACAAGATGACTAGAGGACACATTTTTAAAACTGGTCAAACAATTTTGGAAGAACAAATGTCTGAGAATAGCAAACACAATTTTGAAAAAAAAAACAAACGGGAGTTGTGAGGGGAGTTTGGAATTAAATATTAAAACTAACTCTATAGCTACTGGACTCAAAAACAGAGGACATTGGCCCAGAGCAATAATAGGACAGTGGATCAGAATACAGAGTCCAGAAACACATCTAAGAATAAATGGGAGCCTAATACTGACAAAAGTAGCATTTAAATGCAATAGAAAAAGGAAGACTCATTTAATAAACAAGGATAGCATAATTGCCTATCCATCTAAAAGTGAACAAATTAGATCTCTACTTCATGAATATAAAAACTTCAAAATGTAAATAAAATTAGGAGGAAATATAGGAAAACATTAACATAATATTTGAAGGGAGACTTTCTTAAGCAAGATGGAAACCTTGAAACTGCAAAAACAAATGTAGACATCAGAAAAAATTAAGGATTGTTTAGATAACATACTCCATAAACAAAATCAAAAGATAAGCTTTGGGTTGGAAAAAGTATTTGTAATAAATGAAAAAAGGATAATATCCCTAACATGTAAACATTTTCTAGATTAAGAAGGACAAACAACCCAACAGAATGATATTATGGAAAATGATAAAAATGTTTAAATCTTAGATTAGGAAGTACAAATTACCAAGAAAATAAAAAATGTTCAGTCTCATTACTTAGAAAAATTCAAATGAAAATAAAAGCCATTTATCATCCCTGAGAAAGACAAACAATAACAAGAGTAATAATACCCTTCTGGATAAAGCTATAGGGAAATGGACACTCCTGTACCTTACACATGTGAGTGTAAATTACTAAAACCTTGTATGAAACTGTCTATTAAAGTAAAAAAAGGCAGATCCTTTAACCCAGTAACCCCACTTTCGATAATCTATTCTGTGGAAAGCACATGTTCTTCCCGACCTTTTGCTATGCATTTAAATACACACACATACATGTACAACTGTATACAAATTTTTGTGCAAGGATATCTATGCTAGCGTTGTTCACTGTGGCAAAAATCTGCAAGCAAACTTTATGTCCATTGTGATGGAATAATTGAATGAATAATGCATATCCATATTATAGAATATTTTGCAGCTATTAAAGAAGAATGGTGGATTGTAATTAGTATTTGGGTGGTGAACATGAGAACACGACGTAATCCATGCAGAAATAGAAGTATAATGATGTACACCTGAATTTTATACAATGTTATAAACCAATGTTACTGCAATAAATAAAAACAAACAAACGAACAAACAAAAAAAATGATATCGTTTTATAAATACTTAATTGGAGAAATGTTCACAATACACTGCTGATGAACCTACAAGAGTACTTTGTATAGCCTGAGCTCATTTTTGAAAGACAAACAAAGGAAACCATGCCTGCACAAATGTACATGTGCACCTGAGTAAGGAATGGAGTGAACACAACATATTGTGAGGATTTGGCACCTGAGGGGATGGGTTTCCAAGGCAGATTCTGCATCTACTTCTTTACTGCTTGACTTGTTACATCAGCCGTGTCTTAATTTTGTCTTTTTAAACCAATAAATCAAAATAAAATTAAAGTTACCAGGAGGTAGCAGGGAGCAGAATGGTCAAAAAGGAGAGAGGTTTTGCAATTAGAGCTCCATTAGAAATTATGTTTTCCTTCTCTTTTATTTTTTAATGCATTTTTAATTTCACAAGGCATTGATATATATGTTTTCCTTGTAAAGATTCAAAATATAACAGATAAGCCTAAAATTCCCTTTAAGAATACCACTTAACCTCAGTCTCTCTACCCCTCCCCCAAGAAGTAACCACTGTTATTAATTTGCTAAGTATTCTTCCTGATCTTTCTCTTGCATTTATACACTATTATATGCACCCATTAAAAATGCAAAATATTGTCTTGAGGTGCTTTGGTTTCCTTTGTTTCATAAATGGTTTTATAACGTGCATGCTATTTTGCAACACAATGTTTTTCATTTAATAATAGGTCAGGAATTATTTTCCAAGTCAGTTCAAAGTAATCCATCTCATTTCTTAAACTACTGAGTAGTATTCTATAATATATTGGTAACATAATTTACTTGACTCTTCTTTATGTGAGCGTTTAGGATTTTTCCAAATTTTTGTTAGTAGCAAACAATGGTGAATGTTCTTAGACATGTGTCCTTGTGCACATGTACAAATATTGCTTCAGGTTAAGCCACGCACCTAGAAGTGGGCCTGATCTTTAGTAGGACAAGTACATTTTAAATGTTCATAGATATTGGCTCACTACTCTTCAAAGTGGATGTACTACTCTACAACACCGCTCGCTCACAGTGCGTGCAAACACTTATCTTCCCACCAGCTCCAAACAGTGATATTATAAAATGTTCAGGTTCTTGCCAATCTGATAGGCAAAAAAACCAATATGTCAAAATATTTAGTTTGTGTTTCTCGTATTACTGGTGAAGCTGAGTATCTTATGGCCATTTATATTTTCTGATCTGAGAACTGGTTTTCATATCCATTCATCTATTGAGTGGAATTTTTCTTTTCCTGATTTTTAGGAGTTCTTAGTATATCCAGAATACTAACCTTTAGTAGGATACATATAATGAAAATATTTTTCTTGAGTGCCCCACTTGCACTTCGACTTTGCTTTTGGTGTGTTTTGTTGTAGTTTGGAATTATCACCCCCTGAGAAATGTGTCCCTATCGTATGTTTTCCAGTGTTTCGGTATCATGTTGCATGTGGCATTGGTAGTTATGTTCCATTTCTGATTCCTGATCACTAAGCGTGTAATATCCCTCTCCTGCACCCCTTTTCTTCTTGATCAAATTGTCAAAGGTTCATCTTTCTTACTAGTTTTTCCCAAGAACAGCTTTTCACTTAATGATCTGGTCTCGTCTTGCATTTCTTTTCTATGACTTAATAACCACCTAAAGATTAATTTTTTCCTTCTACTTTCTTTGGGTTTATTTTGCCCCCCTCTTTTCCAATTTTATGAAATGCTTCTTAACTTAAATTCAGGTTTTAATTTATTCCAGCATCAGACACGAGCAAGTAAGTACAGGTAAAAACCCTTTGCACTCTTCAGAATTTAAGAATTTCATTCCTCCAAAGCTTCTGTCTTTGCAGTTCCTCTTTTGTAGTCAAGGGCCACAGAAACGAAACGGGGGTGCTGGCGAGGCTGCTGCACCCCCTGACACTCACCCTCCCCAGATCCCTTTCTCCTGCGTTTCTGACCTTCTCTTGCAGACCTTTTTTTCTCTTTGCGCCTCTGACGGAGTGCTGTTTTAGGGTCAGTAATCCAGGCTTGATAAACAAACTGAAGGGGGAAAGTTCAATTATTTTCTGGCTTTTTAATAATTTGAATTAAAAGAAAAGGAACCAACACCAAGCTTCCTGACTTTCAGAAATATTTTTTCTCCCAATGCAAAATAAATATCCCTCTCCCGCACCCCTCAGTATTCTCAGCTGACCTGTGCTATTTCCATTATCATGAAATAAAATATGCAAACAGATGCTGTAGGAATATGTTTCATGAGCTGTCACAGGCAATCATGAGATACTCTGGGAATATACCAACCATTTCTCCCAAGTCCCCACACACATCACCATTTGTGGGACTTAGTTACCAATTCTTTTTCATTACACACAATAGGAATAAACTGGAAGCCTTGCTAAGTATAAATAGAGTAGTTTTCTCTCATTGCAAATAAACTTTCAGTCAAAAACAAAACAACATCTTTTACTCATTTACTTTGGGAAAATAGTTTTGTATATTTGATACTCTTGTGAATAACAGCTATTATCAGCAACTTGAGAAAGGGCTTTGTAGATTGATTAGATTTGGAGAGGAAAAATAATGTGGTATCGAGGTTAAGGAGTTATTCCAGGATGGTATGGAAGGAAAACTATGGTGCTTTTGGTTGCCTTTTGTCATTTTCGTTCAAGAGCTGAAATATAGTTGCATTAGTATATTATAACCAATAACCACAACAGAGCAATTTTGAACAGCCCCCCACCAATAGTCTCCCAAGTCATGCAGAATGAACACAAAGAAAACCTTGATATGCAAAATCAGCCATCTATGATCATGAAGCCAAGCAGGCATGCTCCTCATGCACCCGCAAACACACCTGCGTCTCAGGGAAGCTGGGTTTTCTACTGTGATGATAAAGTTAAAGGAATGTTTCATGGGGGTGCTTGTAAACCCAGATTCTATATTATTTTCAAATTTCTGAAATCTTTGAAAAACACAGTATAAGCAAACCACTGGCATTGTGATGTCATTAAAAATAAAGAGGGATTCAACTTTTCCATATATGGAAATGTAAAGGTCATAGGTTACTAAAACAGAACATTTCTTTTTTCTCACTGGTAGAAATCTGAATCTTATGGGCAATTAACCATGTAACATCTGTATTATTTCTGAATAACAAACCCAGGAGGCAAAAAAAATTATCCTATTTTATGCCAAAAACATATTTTGAAAAACGAGAAGATGAACTGGAATTTGAAGAAGCACGAACTCAAGGAATTCATGGTAGATGTCTATTGAGCATGTTGTCAGGAATTCTATCAAGAATATCTCTGAGGTTTAGTACATTAATAAGCAAACTTACTTCAGGAAAATATTAATTCTTTAAAAAAACTGAACTGCTAAAGGTAAGAAATTTTCAGGCTTAAGAGCAACATATGATGACATATCCTTCAAAAAAAGTGTTATTACACTATTGCTTTAGATAATGTAAGAATGCCAAAAATAGAAAATAAAAAAGTAATTCAGGATTTGTGAATATAATAGGAGTGCAAGTTGGAGGAATTCTTTTGCTCTGAAAAAAATGAAATCACTGGGAGGGAGGCTGAGAAGGAGAGAGAGAAGAGGATGTTTAGGATAGAAGTGAAGAGGTGTTATAGAAAGGGTGAGTGCCAGAAACTTTTTCTCTTATTAAAAGGAAGCTCCTGGTTCTCCATATAATCCCTAAATGATTAAGCCTATCAGTGCTTTCTTGTTGAGATGAGAATTTAGATAGTGCAAGTAAGAGGAAATGAAGGAGAGAGAGAGAATCTTATGATAGGTCCTTATTTGTAGGCAAATTATCTTGATGTTTGGAAATACAAACATTTTATAGTTCCAGGGTCAGTCCGACTGTCTCAGGAAAAAGTTGATAATGAAGGAATAAGAGGAGACATTCAATTCTTACTGGGTCAAAAAATGTAAGTTTCTTACTGAAACTTCTCAATTCTTACATTGCAACTGTAACTATCATCCAATTTCATGGGTTTCCCTGGGGAATTAAACACGTGCACCACTAACCATAAGTAGAAAAATGCATGAAAATGTACATAAATCATCTTTGGCTTCTCCAAACTGCCACTATTGTGTATTCCCAACTTTATCTTAAATGCTATCATAAATATTAGGGAAAAACGGGATTCATTTTACTGAAAACCTATTATGCAAAAAGCATTTAATTTTTAAAATGGGACAATTTTATCGAAGTGGAGATCCTTAACTAAAAATGGCTAAGGTTCATAAACTGTCCTTTGATTCAAATGTAATCTAGGACTTTCTTTATGTTGTAAGAAGATTTTTTTTTTAAAGTAAGATGGGGGATAATTCTATTGCAATCTTTCACATGAATTATCAAAGATAAATGGAGAGACTCATATGGTAGTCATAAAAGGGAAAAGAAAGAATCCTGGGGTGGTGGCAACAGTGAATATTACACTGAAAACCAGAATCCTGGCATTTTAAGAATGGAAGAAACCTAGAGGTCTGGACCCTGCTGCTCAAGGTGGAGCAGCAGCTGTGCCTCACCTGGGGGCTAGAGAGAGACAGACTTTCCGGTCCCACCGGGGCTGCTGAATTTAAATAACTTGCATTCAAATAAGATCCTAGGCAAAATGTGAGAAGCACTGGTCTTCCTCACTGTCCAAACCATTCGCTTAACACTTAAGGAGCATGAAGACCTCCAAGTTTCAGTGTCTGCCCTAGATTAAGTCAGGAGAAACAGCTTTCCATAAAGTACAAGAATAGTAATTCATTATCTATGATTTTCAGTAACGAAGTGACTATAGCATAGGTATCTAGATAATTTCTGTTGGGCATTAGGTTCATTAACAAATAACTTTTTAACAGTTTTTTCAGCACCATCACTGAGGACGTGAGGTGAGGAGCTACACAGACTGTACATGGCAGCACAGCCTAGTGAGGTGCTGGGCTGACCTCAGAATAGCAAACGGAAGCCAAAAAGGAGATGAAGCAAAATGAGTCTTTTATTAGCTTATTCGTAATTTTACCAGCTTTCTGAGAAAATTTATCACACTTTTTACACATCATAACTGATGCATGCAACCAGATGTGACCCTTTGAAACTGAGATGTGACTTAGGCAAAACTATGAGACGGACAGAAAGTAGTGTGTATCTGCATTTTCTCTTTCTATTTTTTGATAGGCTCTGGTGTTGACTGAAAAACAAGAATCGAATAATAAGAAATTTGGCTTCTCAGAACTCTTTTTGGAAAAGTTTGCCTACTATGTTGAGTTGTCATAACTCCTTCACTGTGCGATCTCTAGAACAGGGAAAATGCAGATGAAGGGCAACAGGGGTCTGCTTGTCTACAGTTCTACGGAGCGGAGGGTCACACGCCACACACCAGTAAAACACCAAGTACCTTTGCAGCTCTGATTAAATACTGAAGAATAGTTTTGGGAAGTTTAAGGACAGACTTTGGCAAGGCTAAAATGGCTGACGCAAACTTCCCAATAGCTCTCTACAAAGAAGGACAAAGCAAGAGCAATTAGTAGGAAAAAACCAAAAACTAAGAATTTAATATATGACGTCAGTATGAGTTTGTCTCTACAATTACATCAACCAGGTTAAAATGTGCCCATCATGGAAGCTAGAATAAAATGTGCACTGCTTGTAAGTTAGGAATAAAGAAAAGTCAATCATTGCATGTAATCCATATGGTGAAGATGATCATGTTCTCTCCTTTGCTGCATGATGAGTGATGGTGAGAAAAAACCTCATTAGAACAAAAATAAACAAGTTAAGTCATTAGTAGTTGACAAGCCAGCCACACGCATGCACACAGACACAGTCATCAAAAAACACACACAGATAGCGATGGGGCCAGTGAGAAAGCACCAGAGCGAGGTGTCTCTGTGAATAATTTAGTTCTTCCATTTCACTGGGAAGATGGGGTGGATGTAATCTGCCAGCTTGAGAGGACCTGGCCAGCAAACTGACAGTGGCTTATCATGGACACATCATGTAGCTGACAGATATTGTTCTATGTGCTTTATAGTACAACAAACGGGAAACACCAGTCCTAGGATGTGGCTCCTTCATCAGAGAAATATATACCAAGCTTTCATCCCATATGTAACTCTACTGACAAAGCCTCATCTTTAACAAGCATGAATTATATATTCACTGGCTACAATATATTAGACTGGTGATCTATATAGTTGAAAATGATACGGCAGATTCTGAAAAAGAAAAGCAGTTAAGCTGAAAAGACCAGAACTGTGCTAGATATTTTCATAAATTCTCAAATCTTTAGAAATACAAATGAAACTGATTTTCAAAATTTGGAGCAATATTTAAATGATCGTTTCTTTCAAAATGAAGCAAGTATTTTTTTTCATGATCCACAATTTCACATATCAAAATGTACATCCACTCAAGCAATCCAAAGCAATGCCAGAGAAGTCTTCTTCAGTCCTACTTGCAACAAAAAAATAAAGTTCACCCAAGGAAGCTTTATTTTTTGTTTATAGCATCAGAAAATGTTTTGATGCCAGTGAATGAAGACCTGACTGGAACACTGTTCTTGCACGGCACTAATTCTGACAATGCTGAGAGCAAGCAGCATTATACTTTAATGAGAAATAAACAATTTTGGATGTAAATCAGAAGCTTCTGGGAGCTATAACACATATGACCATGGCAGAAGAATTCTAGGCCTGCAATTAAGGTGTGTCAAAAAGAAAAACTCTCCCAACAAGCAAAGGACATGGTTTCCCCAACCCTAGAATTACCTGGAAAGCTGACCTTCTTGGAGGTTCTTCATCTTCCTTTCTAAATTCTTCCTCTTCCTCCTCTTCACTATCCGTTTCAAACAAATAATAATCTCCACTCCTGACCACTAAGCAAAACAAAATATTTTCTTATTTCTTGAACGAGATATGAGGTAATTGGGGGCTTATTAATGAAATGCTCCCCCCCCCACACACACACCAAAGATACACAAATTGTCCATAAAAGGACCAGAGCAAGAGATGTTGGTAGGGAGAAAAAAACCAGAGATGAACAGAACGCATTCTGGCTAATGCTATGTGGTGTTGGCATGACTGGGTCTACATAGCACAAGGCCTTGTCTATGCCACGTAAGAGAACTGGCTACTACCGGGCTCATCTGGTATTTTCCTCCTTCTTCATTGGAAATTCTACACAGATGCATCAGATCAACTCTGAAGCAACCAGTTTTGTTACTAAGATGGCCAAAACAATTGAAAATTATTGCTTCACAATTCATAAATTTTGGTCCTTTAGACAAGGCCAAAGTGAAGAGGAGAATTTGGTGTCCTCTGAAGGGGTCCAAATTGTTGTAGAAAAGCCAATCTGGATGATCCAGGACCAAGAATCAGTGTCACCAACCTCCTACTTCACTTCATACGCTGCAGACCTGGCTTCTCCAAATGTGAAACAAGGAACATAATATATATGGCAAGACATCTAAGAGAATTTAAAAAAAAAAATCACACATTTCCATGAGGAGGAAATGGGCAGGTAACAATAAAAAAGTACAACCACAAAAACACCACCACCACTCTGTCTATTTCTACGCATAGCATGGGACAGACTGAGGCATGGCAGACAGGGTCCATACTGTTTAGCACTGTTGGGCTTCTGGTCAACCAGGAGCTCCCCAGCGGCTTCTGAAGTGTGAAGAGAACTGTCCTGACCATAAGACACAGAGCACAAACAGTGTGGACCACCTTGTCTTGCCTGACATTTTCCCTTCAGAACATACTGCTGTGTTAAGAGTTGGGAGTAGAGAAAGCTGAAATGTCCAGAGATTTAAAGAAGTTTGAGAATCAAATCTTTACCAGTTTGATCATTATTTTGAGTTTGTCAGAGAAAAGAGACCCAGCATATACATTTCTGATGCTACAAGAACTGTACCACCATTTGTGTGTACCACCATAAAACACATTAATATTTTCAAGTTATGTTCAAGTTTTCAAATGCTGAGGTGTCTTTTGGATGACGTAACAGGATGTCTTTAGTTATCAGTTTGGACTTATACATTGTAAAGTAATGGAAAACCTTGGCTTGCTCTAAATTAGTTGCTTCAATATCACTAAACATGATCAAAAGGTCAGTAATTTTGCCCATGATTTCAGACGTATCTGAAGCCTCCATCCACGAAGATGCAGAGTGAGTGAATTGGGCCTTATATCCTTGAACAGAAGCACTGTAATCTGTCATTTTTATTTTGAAGAAAGAAACAGGCTCAGAGTACTGGGCCCAGGCCTGAGGAAATAAATGCAATACAACATAAGGTAAGAATAAGCGAGAACAAACCAAAGTCACAGCGTTACGTTTGACAGTGAGGAAGCCCATGAAAGTAACGCCTTCCTGTAAGCTCAGAGATTTGCAGGAAAGTCACATGGACTCTACGTCACATGGTCATTTGGTAAAAACAGAGTATTACAGATTGAGCATTTTACCCTCATTATAGGCTCGAAAATCAACAACAGCTTAAATGTATTCAATCATACCTTCTGTAACTTTTATTCATGTGGACACTGTGAGCCCAAACAGTTTTCATCTCAAATAGTATAACACTGATTTTATCATTTAAAAAACTTTACCAATTTGTATGTGAGAAGTAGAGTTAACACACTAGAAAAAGAAGGAAATGATAAAAAAAAAAGTTTCCTATTCCTTTATAAAATGTGATTGAAATAAAACTAGGAAAATAACAGACAATATTTTCTGTAGTGCTGTCTGCTAATACTAAGTACAGAAGCTCTTATATATACACGTTTGTTAGTTCAGACAGACATCCTGCCTCCAGCCTGTGTCCATACATACATCATGGACGTTGATGCTATTGCTGCACAACCAAGCATGAAAATAACTTTTAAAGTCTCACCACCTGTATGCACAGAAACTTGGCCCTTTATTTCAGATATTTAACATTAAAGTGAGCCTTGGCGTTGATTTAGGCAGTACTGAATTGACCCGGAGACATAAGACACTGGAGTGGAAGGTATCATTGAACAGCAATAATGCAATCACATGTGTGCACATAGGGATGGAAGTGGGAGATCTGTCAACTATAGACTATGATAAGATCTTGAATGCTTACCAATAATATGAACAACATAGCAACATCATTATATCGTCAATAGATTTACACAAGGGTATTCCAACTACACTTATTCTTACACTCAGCACCTCTAAGAAATATCTCTTTAAAAGCCCAGTGACTCAAGAGATCAGAAGAAGGGCTTTTAATAAAATGCTTCCAGATCTAAAGATAAATTTTGGAATTTGTTATGGTCTAAAAAATAAACCACATATTCATTCTTTTCCTTTCCTCACAAGCTTGTAAAAGGAAATACATTTTGTAGAAAAATTTTAACATCACGGTTAGAATCTGATTCCAAACTATGAATTACACACATTCCTGCATTATTGCACAGTAAGGTATTGTAACAAGGCACATTTAGTTTGATACCAATCTTCAAGAACTTGATATAATGAGGGTGAAATGAATCAGAAAATCTAAAGTCAATAACCTTTATAGGAAGTTCTCTAAATTATTACCAACATATAAGATGATTATCAAAGACCATATCCAATTCCTTCCAAAATGCAATGTTCAGGTGAGAAAACAAAAGACAACCACAATGATTGCAATGGGAATTTACCCCAAGTGAAAGCATAAAACATTCAGTACGACATAATTTTGAAATGGATAGGTCTCTCTACACTAGCAAAGGGCCCTTTCAAACAGAAAGATAGCATAGTTTACTTGTGACTTGATAGAAACAGGCATACAGTGCACTGCAGTATTAAATCATCAGCGTGATGAACATGGCAATGGACAACAAATTAGAGTCACATAAAATTTCCACTTGAATCCTTGTCTTTTGACTTGGGCATCAAACGAATGAAACTCTTCATAATTCGTGGATTTTTTTTCTGCCATAATGCTAAAATTCAATATTTGGGATTAAATTTAACTACATCCAGGCATACTGAGCAAATTTGGAATATTGCTTTATTCAGTTGGCTTGCTGATTTTAGAAAATTATTTCTTGGGTGACAGAGGCCAATACCAGATCTAGGTGACACTAAGAATTAGACACAAGAAAAGATTCTGATCAATTTGACTTTGTAGTGATTCTGAATATCCTATTAGTAGAGGCCTTCCCATCATCACGTGACTTTGGGGGCCTTGTTGATAACCCTTGTCTACTACATTAGCTACAGTTATTGAGACACAGTATAAGACATAAAAGACTGAAGACACTACAATTAATTTGCAAAATAATTAATGATTATTCAATATTCTCACAAATTTAAGGGGCTAGATTGAAATGGATCATTCCCATTATGATACTATTGGCCAATAGTGAGTGATATTTCCTTTGCTAAATGGAACGAATTTAGCCACGGAGTTCCATAATTCCTCATTTTTTTTTATGATCAGGAGAGAAACACACTAATTCTATGTGGCTATCAAGCTCTGCTTTTCAAAAACTGTTTCCTGACTTTGCTCTTCATTGATCATGGCTGAGTTGCAGGTAGATCTGAGGCTGTACCACGTTCTGGGAGTTGGATTTGAAGTGTCATTTTTGAGACTTTTTGAAACTGGGGAGGAGGTAGAGTGAGAAAGTAAATGCATTTTAAATTATTCTCATCTTTATATTTAATAAATTGCCAAAAAATCTTACATGTAAATAAAATCCAGGCTCTGGGAATGAGGGGAGGGAGGCTCACTGGCATCCACGCCAAGCGCCTGACAAAGAGAGTCACAGACACTGGGAACATATACTTACCCTGAAATCAGAGTCCCAGGAGGAGCCAGAACTCATTTTCAATAAGGGTTTGTAGCCACAAAATGAAAACATATCAGCAGAGCCCTAAACCTCAGAAGTGGATAACACTGTAGTCAGTTCTCCTTCCCTTTCTGAGCCCGCAGATGGTACTCAGGAGGACACGAGCTAGTACCTGGCTTTCTTCAGCCAGCAGGGTAATTAGCTGGTTTCTCTGGCAGATTTGATCCACAGGGCTCAGAGACCCTTTTCATCACAATTTTCCTACACTCTGACCACCTATCAAGTCACAAGGATCAAACCATGCATAGAACACACAGGTCACAGGGACGCCTGAATTCTGGTCAAGGATATAAGGGTTAGAATCAATGAAACTGTAAGAGGATCGAGGAAACCTACTGGAAGCATGATCGACCCAAGGCCGCCACCACTGCTTTTTTTTGCCCTTGGCTTTCTGTTTGTCTGCTTCTCCTAAAATAAAATATGTCCAAATATTAATTCTTATAAAGTGAGAAAACAAATTTTGAAAACCAAGCTTTAACAACTCAATTGTCAAAATCTAGCTAAGTTGCAAAAGTACATTAGGGGTCAGGCAAAGGAATTACACTGACTGAAAAGTTCACATGTATTAGCAGGCGGTTTTACAAGGTAAATACTAAGTGTCTAGTAACATTATGCCACATTTTCGCTTTCTTTTTAGTAACTGAGGTATATAAAGAAATATAAAAAAGAAGGGATTATCTGTCAAAAATCTCACATTGAATTTTCCATTGAGTTAACAGAAAAGAAACATCATCCAAATTTTATAGAACAATGTAGTGGCAAATAATTTGTTAAAATGTATACATTCCAATAACCAGAAATTTTTCTTGTGATTCTTTTAATGTATGCTTGGAAAAATATAAATTTACTGGTGATTAATAGATACTATGTACTAGAAAAATATAATGCACTATTTCTCCATTCCTTTCAAATAGAAAGCATGTAAACATCCGTAAGAAGACTTTTAAACTTAATTGGATATAATAAATCTATAATTAGATATAATAAATATATATTTCATCTTAAGTTTCATTGGAACAGATAATTGAATATTTTAACTACTATATTTAGATGCCACATAAAATATGCATACATATTTCATTTTTGTATAAAATTTTAGAAATCAAAGACAACAGTAGACTGCATATCTGAAATATCTTCCCTAAAGGAACAAATTAAGCAAATTCATGCCCATTTTCTTCAGAAACACGTCTGTGAAACAGAAGCGAGGTTATGTGCTGATTAAGTTGTCTTGATACTTATAAAGTCATGGATTCATTACATATGTACTTTAGGGAACAAATAAACTTATCCCATTCACAATGGGAAGGTAAAACTTTCTAAGTTAAAAAAATACTTTGATAATATTGGCAGAATGAAAACTAATGTTATTTTATAGCCCTACCCAATATCATGCTATTATTCACTGTCAAGGTACTTGAACAGGAGGGAAGTGTCTCGACATACTTTCGTCATCCTCTTCAGAGAGCTTTTGGATGTCTTGGCCTTCCCCTGACTCCTGGGTCAAGCTCAGCATCCTCTCCTTACCCTTTTTGTATTTCTGTTGCCTGGCCTTGATGCGATCCATCCTGTCAAACAGAAGAGCAGCAGCAATGCCAAGAACACATCCCCAGTTATCATATGGTCAGCACGCTGGGTTTACACTTTTATGCATAAAGCTGAAATCATGGACAAAGTGATCAATACTTGAGAATTGTGAATGGTTGCTTACTGGCAACAAGTATCTCCCTGCTTTTGTTTTACATACCCATGTTATTCCGCCCTACATAGACGCTACTCTTAGTAATATGATCAATAATAATTATGCTACGGTTTGATATATAATACATTATGTTCATTTATACCTTGTACCACAGCCATTCTGAAATATAAGTCCTTCATTTTCCCAGGTTTTGCATTCTTAAACAAATGGAAAAATTCAGTGAAAATTGTAGTAACAGGCCTCACTTCTGGGAAACCAGGAACATATTATAAATGGGTCTAAATTTGTTGTTTCTCTAGACCTGATTTAGCTAGAAACAATAAGAGCAACAGTTATACCACATTGTACTTGCATTATATATATATTTTTATATAATGCATATCTTTGTGAAAATGACCATGCCATGGGATAGTGAAACTGATACTAGCAAATATTTTTGCATGGGGAAAAATGCTAGGAAAGGAGGTCAGAGAGGAATGAAACTCTCTTTGCAAACTCAGAGAATTTTCCCGATGAGCTGATAGTGTGTCTGCGTTTTCTTGGGGAAAGTTGCTAGGTTCTGAGTTCTACGGCCATCAGCTGTTAAACCTGGCCCCATACATATGCAGTGTTACCAATCCTCAGAATTTCTGTTCACTGCTGGAAATTTTACTGCAACAAAATTCTTTTCAATGGGCTAACTAAAAAAAAAAAAAGAAAAAAAAAGGAATTCCCAAATCTGGGTGGAGTCAGTTCATTACTTGACTTCTCCAAAATGGTGTGCTGGGAAAGGCTTTAAACTGATTATAGGGGAATACGGGTTGTATTTCTAGTGTCACCTCTAGTTAGTTGTGGATTTTAAGTCATCGAATATCATGGGTCATCAGTTTCTTCCTGAAGAGACTGGATTATATTATCTCTAAAGATCTTTCCAAAGAGAGGGTTCTGCATTTATTCCCTTAACCCACAGATGTAATGCACATTCACCCCAAGTGCCTGGCACTGGGCAAGACCCCATCTCATTCATCAACTCATTTAATCACTACAAAAACCCAGATGGGATTGTGAACTCTGGTTTAAAACACAAAATCAAATTTCAGAGAATTTGAACGACTTGCTCAAGGTTCCAAAGTAAGCAGCTGAACTAGGACTTGACCTGGTCTTACTCACGTTGGCTCCCTTTCCATCACATTGCAGCTATATTTCTTTCAATGACTTCCATTTTCAACCCAGCAGGCATAAGCCACTGCCCTGACACAAGAGCAAATACCTGGGCAGTTGGGAAAGTTAACTCAAATAGGTTTTTCAGGGAGTTGAGGCTCCCCAGGAGCTGAGAGCCGGCTGAATGGTAGTGCACAAACCAAAAACAAAAGGAGAGGAGAAACAGAGTAACACAAAGCATCCTTACTGTCTCTTCAGCTGGTCCATTGACTTTTTCTCTTCCTCAATTCTGGCCTTTACAGCCTTCACAATTGTGGCCTGGAAAAGTTCAGCCCCTCTGAAGGAAAATTGGAAACACAGAACAAATCAGTATTTCTGTCATTGTCACTCACCTTCCCCTGAGCATGAATACGGAGGGATGGGAAACATGGAGTCTCCTGGCTGGAGTGGACGTTGCAAGGCCCTGTCTCAAAGCCTCTTCCAGAAGAGGAACAAGGTGCAGCCTCCCCCTGGGAGGTCAGTAAAGAGAAAATGGTCTGTGTTTTCTATGACATTCAAGGCCATGCATCTCTGCAAACCCATCTGGTAGAATGTTATACTTCAGCAAAGTGTCACTCACCCGACCTTTTTATAGTTGTCCCCTGAGGCGACATTTGCAAGGAGTGAGTTCAGATTGGTTTTCTACTCAGTATGCAGAAAAGGGTATGGAGTGAGCTGGGGCTTCCTTAAGGGAATATGCAAAGTTGGAGTTCGAGCCCAGCTGTGGGATTCTCTTCTTCCTATCCTTCGCTCCCTTCTGTTCTTCCTCACTTTTCAGGTCAACATAAGGGTCCCCAAAGATCTCATCAACCTCTCTTAATATCTTCAACTCTGTCCCATTGTCATCTGGTCCCATCTGCTTGGCAAATCCCAAGCCTGTAGGAACCCAATGGTGCGCCAGTCGTGTGCTCAGATGGGCTATGTGAGCGGTGCAGAGAACGCAGGACTGGGCAGATTATTAACTGCTCCCCACACTCGGGGGAAATTCTTCTGCTTCTCTACAGCACTATTTCAATCTCCCTACACTTTTCTCAAATCTCGAAATCTGTCAAGGGCTTTTCACTCCTGGTAAATGACCCAGCTTCCTACTTCCCAGAAAACCTAAGTCATGAGGCAATAATTTGCCCAACTTCCTGCCACCTAACCCCTGGACACCATTTCCTGCAGTGACAGAGAAGAGGTGACATCCTTCTGCTGATGTCTGCCCATGCTCAGGTCCCTCCCCACCCACAGCCTGACGGACTCCATCCTTCCATTTATTCCTCTCTTCCTGCATTTCAACCTTTGCACTGCTACTGAATCCCGCTTACAAGAGGCAAACATGCTCAGGTCTTACTAATCTTAGAAAAAGAACCCATGTACAGCCCGCAGTTTTCTATGTACAGCCTTACATCCCTGCCCCTGCACAGCAAATATCTTGCTATCGCATCTCCAAGTCTTTCACTTCAACCTCAGCGCATCGGTGTATAGCTCTGACCCCCACCTGCCGAGGTCGCTGACCGCACTCTTCAACTTCCAGTCTTGTCTTTAGATGTCCCGTCTGCTGAGCTTCTGCTTTCAAACAGCCTTCCTCAGGCTGCGACGGCACCTGCTCTTTTAGTTTTCCTTCTTCATTGCTGGCTCAGAGTTCCCGGTCTTCTCTGCCCATCTCTTCAATGTGAACACTCCCCAGGGTCCTCGTCTCATTCTCCACATTCTTCCCAGGCAGCTCCAGCCACTCACCTGCTCCAATACCGTGTGTGTAATGACGACACTCAAGCCTATTCACATCTCCATCTGTCCACTCAGCTGCCCGCCGCACTTCCCCCACACTTCCCAGTGGGGTGAACTTCACACACCCACGAGACCTACAACTGCCCCACGGCAGTTGGTCTGCTTTCCCAGTCTGCAGCTCCATAGGTTCTCTACATTTAGGATTGGCACCACCACTTGCTTAAGCCGGAATCCTGGGCACATCATCCTCTACTCTTCCCTTTCCATCACCATCTCCCTTCCTTCCAATCAACTTTCCAGTTGTGCCAATTTTACCTCTTAATATCTTTCTAATTTATCCCCTCTTGGTCCTAGCTATTATCTGTATCCTGGATCATCAGAGCAGCCACCTAACTGGTCCCTCTGCCTACAGTCCTCCTTATATACCTAACATATTCTCTACACCACAAGCAGAGTGAGCTTCTGAAATGCAAATACAGCCACCTCACTCCCTCGTTTGAACACATCAATGCCTTCCTATTGTCTATGGGATTACTTCTAAAGTCATAAACATGACTTATGAGGCCCCTGATAATCTGGCCTCTCCTTACCTCTCCAGCTTATTTCTCACTACTCACAATCTTCATCTTCAGACTTCCGTGTTTCGGCCACTCTGAGCTTCTCACGATTCCTCAGTGAAAACTTCCCTCAGTAACTTCACTCAGGCTGCTTCCCCTACCTCCCTCCTCTACCTCTTAGTCACCCCTCAGATGGCAGCTCAGAATTGAAGGCTGCCTTGGTTCCTGCCCCCGCTGTTGGCTGTCTGCCCTTGATATAACCCCACAGCTTCCCGAACGTCTCCTCCCATCACACTAGCTGCACTGGATTACGACTGCTTATTGGGGTGTTTATCTCCCTAGCAGTCTGTAAGCTCTGTGAGGGCAGGGCAAGCATCCACGTCCTTGTAGCACAGTAGGCAGTGAGTAAAGGGATGAATGAATGAATGTCTATTCTTCAGAAAGTCCATTGTGAGTTCAGTGCTTATTAGACAGGGCTTTTCTTTGACAGGCATGAGCTGTACTCTGAACCAAAGCCATCACTTTCTATAACAGGAAGAATATGCTTTCTAAATAATTGTGACAACTTTGAGAACAAGATACTGGCTTCTGATTATGGCCTGGATCCCTAAGCACCAAACGTTTAGGGGAAGCAAAAAAGATGCATTTACCAGCGAAATACCAGCTGATATGTACAAGCAAATAAGGTTACTATTGGCACAGGACGAGACATTGTGCTCTGCTCTGAAAATGATGTCCCAGATATTGGTAAAACAATTATAATGGTAAATTCCAGGGCCAATGGTGTACATAAAATGAAGTCACTGTTCATCTACATAGTGAGGGCCAAGGGTGCCACAAGTCTCCTTGCATTAAACGTAGGTCCCCTACTAGGCCCTCTTTCTATCTGGCTCAAAGCTAATTTACAAAGGCTGGGAATTGCCCCCATATAAATGGACTTTTAAAATAAGTATTTTGTGCATCCTGACAGGGAAAGAGAATAGGCTCCAGGAACACTGGTGGTATAAACACAGATGTATTTGTTTAAACTACAATTCAAAATGATAGATATTGGCAATTTCATATGATACAACCTAATGTTTATCAGGTTCGTTAGCACCATGGATCCGATGGGATCTAGGCTGGGATCTAGGCAAGGTCAGTGTCTCTCAGAGGTGCCCTGCAGTCTAGGGGATCACGCACCTGGCCACTGACCACCCCCCTCTCAATGGCGTTCCCTTTAACACTTAGTCCTCCTCATAGTCTTCCTGGTCTTTTCCTTTGAACCTACAGGATCAGGGGCAAAAACTGGAGAAAGGTAGTAATCCAGTAGTGCCAGTGTCCCCGAGAAGAGAAAATCAGGTCGTTGGGGAAAAATAGAGTGAGAGGAGGGGAAGGGGAAGGAAAGACAAGTAAGAAGGGTTTAGAACGAGGCTGCAGTAACACACTCCTCATCTGAGACCTAAGGAATAATAGGTAGTTATGTTTTATCTATTTTCAAGAGTTTCTTCTTAAAATAGAGGCAGGGAGGGGCAGAGGGACCAGACGGCAGCCCAACATGGCCTATGTTGCTGTTCTGACTGAGGTCAGAACCAGCACCTCCTCATGAGGGGTCCACACCGAGGGCTCTAGACCACCAGGCATTCTGACCTTCCAGAGTGTCCCAATTCCTGTAAACTGTGACTCGGCTCCACGGACTTTCTTGTACTTTTCTATTTTTGATTTTAAAGGCTGTAGGCTAAAGCCGTCTTGGATTGATTTTCTTGGAAGGAATTTCTTAATTTCTTGTGGGTTCTACAAGCGAGCTCAGAAAGCACAGCACAGCATTACTTCCAGACAGGTTTCTTCAGAGAAACCACGTGATTCCCTGGCCTGACCCACCTTGATGCCAGGATCTGTGAAGCTTTTATATCTGCCACGACATGTAGAAAATAGTAACTCATGAAAACTCTTCTTTGCAGCAGGAGGAAGGCAAAACATATGCTGTCCCAGATAATTCCTGCTTCACCACTGGGCAGTTTACAGGAGGAGTCGTCATCAGCTGGGGCAAAAAAGTAGAAAAAAATTAACATCCATTTTCACTGTTATTTTATAAAATCTGTAGAATGATCAGATTTGGGAGGTCACACAGGCATAAGAGCAACATTCTTATGCATCGACTCACTCCTGAGTGGATTTATTTACAATTGAGGCCACACACTTCAAATCCAATATCAACACTGATTCATAAGGCTGACCACAAAGTGAACTCTTGATAATGCAAGGTACAGCGGGGCCTCTTTGCCAGGGAGGGCTCCTGAGTATTTCTTTCTCTTAGGGAGGAAGGAGCCCTTTCCCCTCAACAAGGGCTGTGGAGAAATAATGTCAGTACGTCCCAGTGCCAGAACAAATGCGCTGGTACAAAAAAAAATCACCCCTCTGGGAACGGGCTCTCCCCAGCAGTAACCAGCAGAGCCGGTAACGCAGTATGGTCTATTACAAGAAGCACATCTGATCCTAAGTCAAGACAAATTCCCAGTGACTCCTCTTCTTCGGCAAAGCATAGTCTGCATTGGAAGCCACAGTGAGGAAAGTGTCATGTTCAAGTTGCCCCCATTCTGGGCACCATGGAGAACCATGTGTGGTGTTGCCCTGGGTTCTGAGGCAGAGGGATGGGAATGGGACTTCTGCCTCTGTTCCGGGGAGAGTCTAACTACAAAGACCCTGGTGCTCCTCCCCATTATTGTCCTGAGTTTGAAGTTCTCTGAGCTTCCTGAGGAGACAACGGCCTGGAAGTCAGAATTACTTTGAGGACCCAAGATTCTAACTGCAACAACCACAGGCTTGACTGGGTTTCTCTAACCCTTTCCAACCGTAGCTCAAAAAAGTTCAGGGAGTTACTAGAGGCCACACCCAATCCCCAGGCCTGCCAGGGTTTGGGAAGTTTCTAGAGGATGATCAAAGATGCCTCAAGTAGAGACACTTCATGTTACGGGCAGCAGTTTCACAGTGCAATACAATCTCACAGCCTCTGTGCAGAGAGAGAATTGAACGCCACTTTCTTCTCTTTTCTTTATGTGCTTTGGCCCAATTTTTAAACTGGAGCAATATGACTGTCCTTCCTTCTCTGTCCGCCCACTCCCAAATTTGCTTTCCATACTTACGCATTTTATAGCCTTTGACTGTGCAGGCCAGGCTGAAAGCTTGGATCAACCAGCAACTATTTTGAACCAATTTTTCAATGTATCCACATGCTCCTATCTGAAAAACAAATGGGAAAGGCAAATCCTGAAACTCTGCACTCAGAGAAAGAGGCTGATGTCTTGTGATCCCACCATGTGCAAGAATTCACCAAGTCTCAGTGCCAATGACTGCGGAAGATGCCAACAGCACCTAAAATTTCAGTTACCATGAGGCAGTGCAATTGATGCTTCAGGAGAATCATCGTTTCCTGGGGGAAATCAAACCCAGTGAGCAAAGGAGGAGCTTTAGCGTGATGTTTTCTGCACTGGGACTATCCCTCTTTTCAAAGAGGAAATCCTGGACTATTGTAGGAACAAGCTGAACTCTGTGATAGCGAACACATGACCTTGAGCCCCAGGAATTTGATTGCTTAGTCACTTTCTCACAAGTGAAACATAGAAAACCTATGCTACTGCCAGGAGATCACCACAAACATAAGCTGCATGATACACTTGGAATAAGAACAGAGTATGTGTTTTGAGGCTTTTTTTTTTGGCCAATTCTCTGGGTAAAGGAATCTTCTTTATGATTTGCACGTGGTTGTCTCATAACAATGATTTCTTGTCATAGTTATGCTAAGTTCACAACCTGAGAGGGGAAAAGTTTAAACAAACATTGATCATTGCAAGCCAACACAGAAAGGTGATGGCTGGCTTGTGTTTATTTCCTGGGAACATGTGAACTAGGAGAATATAATTAGGATTTGCTCCCAAATCAGCAGTCAGCCAGCGTGAGTACCTCCACACATCAGAACATGATTTCTGAACTAATATCTCAGTCCTACATGGCCAGGCTTCGGTTCAGGTTCTCTAGGTTGGGGATATACTCCCACTTTGTCTCCCTGGACACTCCTGAGTCTATCTTTCTAGTCTCTGATGGGTTCAAATGGCATTGCCTCCAAGAAGCCTGTTCCCAACTCATCAGGCATGATATTAGGTACTCTTTTGTTTTGTTTTCCTAAAATGTTGTGATAATTAGCATTCACAGGTCACATTATAATTATTTATAAGTAGGTCTATCTTCCCTTTTAGAATGAAGAGTTCCTTGAGAGTAAAATCTGGGTTCTATTTATCTCTAGATCTTTAAGATATAAAACTGCCTGGCAAAGAACAGTTCTGCAATATAGGTTTACAAAATGAATGAACGGACTTTGTAGCCACACATTTTCCAGGAATGGCTGTAGGGATCAGCTTCTGGCAATGGATTCTTCACCATCAGGCTGACTTTAGAATGAAATGGTATTCTGCTGTGCTATCTCACACTCTCTCCAACAACTCTCAATACTATCCCGAATGTAAATAAATATTGGTGGGGTAAAATTGATGAATAAAAGTCACTTTTACTATCAACTAGAAAATTAACATTTCAATTGACTGTAGACAAAATAAATTATTCAAATACATATTCATGGTTACATAGACTTGATTTTCCAAGGCCTCTAAATGCAGCAATGGATGTGCCAAGGAAAAAAAAAATCAAATGCTTTCACAGTTGAATTGCCTGGTGAGCTTATCTCTAAGTAGCTCGGAAGGGGAGAGGCAGGAAATCATTACATCTCTGTGCTCCTAATGCACTACCACTTATAGCCTGTGAGTAGCGGGCACAAGGACTAACTAAGTTAGGGCCAGCTACAATTGGATTAACTCGTTCAGCTCATGAAAAGTGGTTTAATATCCTGAAACAATAAATAACTTAAATGGTGTCCTTGTGGCCCAAAAGATTTTATGTGACTCTGGGATGATAGTAGGCAGTTTGAGCTACCTCCCAGGTCAGAGAAAAAGCTGTGCCCTGGAACATGGGAATCTAAGAGCAGAGCAGCCAGAGTAGCGGAGGGGGTTGTGCTTTGCCTCAACCCTCTGCTGCCTCAGCTCTGCCCTGATCAGGGTGCCTGTGCTCAGAGGCAACCGGGAAGCTGTTTCCTCTGTGTCTGCCATATCTCACAGGTACATAAAACATCCGTGCATTCAACAGTGTATTCCACCTCAATCCCCAGACCGCACAGTGTTACAGAGAACATGCTCATTTTATCTTATACTTCCACAGCTCTTTCTAGGTAAGAAAGTTGCTTTTAGCCAACATGGTATGACTTTGAAGAGATTCAATGACTGAATCAACTTGTAAAAGGGCCATTTTGTAGCACAAAGAATGAGTGATGACAAATTATTCCTCAGAAGGGATAGGATTTCAATAAATAACTACACTTTAGAATTTATTTCTACAAATACACATCCTCTTGTCATGTGACCTTGAGATGGTAGAAATGAGCAAACAGGATTCTGCTGAATACAGCAAGACAAAGAGTAATGAATGGCCATTTGAATTCTGAGTTTGCAGCATCTTATTTAGGGCTTTTAAGAGAGCAGTGTGATGGGCAATGGGCTTTTAATAACCACTGAATGGACTGTTTACTCTCGCGCTGAAACCACAAATGCGTTGTACGGTGGGAGCCACTTACTGATAGTATGTTTTTCATTGTAATCACAAAAACGTTGTATGCAATCAGCCAGTCCCAATAGCGCAGGATGCTCCTGATGGGTTTCAATAGCAAATCGCCCCCAAAGAGCAGGAAATAGAAGCAGGCCACCAAGTAACCCATGCAAAAGATGCTGATCCTGGTGGTCCCGGTGATGAAGATGATGGTGAGCACGAACCAGAAGAGGTAGCTGAAGATGATTACTTTGGACATGTCTAAGTATGATCTGGAAGACAAAACTGAACCATCAGAGGACAACAGCACATACAAACAAAAATACTGAGTCGGGAGATCCTCCTTTAATAGGGAAACAATTCAAACTACACATTTGATTCTCTATGAAAGCATGACACAAGTTGTACTGTGAGCTCTGTGTCCATCTCTCATTCAACACTGCCTGGTCTATAGGAAATCCTTACCTAGCCAGTCATGGCCAAGTAGGTAAGTTTGTGAAAACACCATGTGCACGTTTGTTATCAGCGTACTTGGCCCAAATTTCCCACAAACAGCAACATTTTCTGCCTACTACTTGAGCACTGGAAAATCCTCTCTTTTTCTACAGAAGGCATGAATAATTGTATGGCGAAGGGAATTCTAAGATACAGATGCCTCCTGGAGCAAGAGAATGTGAAGAATGGATTCCTCTCGATGAACTAGAAATGAATAGATTAAAACAAATCCCTGTTACACACAAAGGTTACTAGAGATGAAATCTCTCCCTGGAGATGAGAAGTAACTCTGACAAAGCAGATGCAGTCACAGTGTGTGTGTCGGGGGTGCTTTTAAGCTCTTTCTAACACCCCGTCTTTGCACGTCCCTGGTCCCTGGGTGGAGTCAAGATTCTTTTTTTTGGGGAGCCATTCCTCCCCTATGACCTTGCTGAGAAGGCGGAAGGTGAGGCAGCATTCAGTCTGCAGGGAGTTTCCCCTGGTCACTGCCCCCTGGTGGGAGTTGTACCCATAGCCCACAGGCCAAGTCTCATCTGTATTTACTTAATTAGAGCTTCTTTGTTTTGGAGATTTTGCTTTGATTGTTCCTCCTCCCAGGGTTGGGGAGAAGTATAGGAGAACCACCAATTCTGGGTGTTATTTGACTAATGAGCTATTTTGTAACCTCTTGATAAAACATGCACTACACTATCCAGTATCATTGGGAAGGGAGTTGTGCCTTAAAGGTACACTGTCAGACAAGCGAACCTTTGAACTTGACTCTTTTTAGAGTAAAATACTCAACACTTTTAAATGTTTTTACAAAATTCTTTTCTAAAATATATCACACCCTTCCCTGACTTCACACACAAAGGAGAGTGAACAAAATGTCAGTACTGCTCAGCATCCCAGGATCATGACAGCAGAGCTAGTGATTCAGTCCAGCTGTCATATCGGGACGTGTGTGTGGTTTTAAGTCAGTGGAATCGGGCTGCTGGCATTTTTGAGTATGTGTGTATGTGTGCGTGCGAGCCCATATAGAAAGTGCACTGTGTACTTTCTACAAATTTCCCTTCCTTGCCTGCAGTTGTTAATACCTGCTCTGGAGCCCTGGCCCTGACTCCTCAGCACTTAACCTGCGTCAGGTTCAGAAATCATAAAGCTTTACTTGTGAGAATAACATGGAAAACTAGTAACCTGCTCTGAAGAGGAGCCTAAGGCCCCCGAGCAGATGAGTGAGCACTGGGGGCGTGTCCTCAGGTCCAGAGGCCCCTGAACTGCTGGTGCTCTGGCTGCTTCCCTGAGCTGCCCAGGAGTGCGCAGCGCAGAGAGGGAGTGTGGGACAGCACAGTGGCCACTAGCTTCCTGCTCACAACTGTGGTAGTTCACAGGTTACTCTCTGAGGGGGCCACTTCTCTGGCAGTCCTAATTGAGAAACAAATCTGAAATAATTCAATTAAAAAAAAGATACAGCTTTAGAAATCAGTGAGGCAAAAAAGCTTTCCAGTGGATATTTAGGTTTCCCATTTGTACAGTCAGGGTTGAGTACGTATTTTTTTTCCCTTTACTTTAGGGAAAAGAGTGAGCTGGACTGATTTTTCTCTTCGCACCACAGAGAAGAGGCAAAAAGGGAAGTCTTGTTGCATATTAGTGTTTAGTGTGGTCCTTTAGTCATCAAGAGAATCTTCAAGTCTACATAGCTCAGCATTTTAAAGCAAATTCACTGACTAATTTACTCAGCACAAACGGAGTTTCTCACGCTGCCAAGAGGCACGTTGTGCTTACATGTGCAGTCTTTGGAGCTGGAGCGACTGGGTTCAAACCCGTGCTCAGTTTCCTCATCCACGAAGGTGGGAGGATAACATCCCCACTCAGAGGGTGGTCACTGGGGTGAAATGCTGCATCCACATAAAGCGGACAAAACCCAGCCTGCACAGAGTGAGCCCCTACGACTGCCGGCTACTAACACTCTGATGTGCGCTGGAGGCCAAAACGATGTATATGCGTGGGGAATGGGGACAAGTGCAAACATAAGTGAGAAGTAGACTCTGCCCTAGGTGGCCTGTACCTTAGACTGGGGGATAAGACAGGTTCTTAAAATACCAACACCGTGCAACACCATACTCCAGGAGGTCAGAGATGCAGAGCGAATTTCAGGTGTGGAGAGTCGCACTGGCTTGTATGAAACAGCCATGTCCACACTGTGCACGAATGTGCAGCTGCTCACTGGATCCCCACAGCAGTACTGGAGGATGGATGCTAGCTAGTGAGGATCAGAGAGGTTTCATAATTAGTCCGAAGACATACAGTTAGTAAAGGAGGCATAATAAATCACACCCATTTGTCAGACTCCTACTGTGGTGGTTGACTTGAGTCTTAAAGGCACTACAGGACTGAAGAGCTGACTAGAGAGGCAGATGGGACTGCCCTCCACGAAGTGGGCCTCAGGCGAAAAAACTACAAGGACTTGGGAACCCAGAGAACTCAGAAAGAATGCACAGCGAGAAATGTAGTTTGGTTTAAACACGAACTCTGAGGAGGAGATAATCAGGCTGCCAAGATCAGCTATCACTAGACTGCAGAGGGCAGTGGAGGGCAGAAAAGGTGCTACAAAGGGATCCCACACATGGCCACAGAGCGGACACTGCTGGAGAGTGTGCCAACACAGGGCGGGCTGTGGTGACTGGTCCTCCTCGGTGTCCACTGAATATGGGGACAAGAAGGAGGGACGGGGGTGAGGAGGAGGGACAGGGGATGAGGGGAGGGACAGGGGATGAGGAGAGGGACGGGGATGAGGAGAGGGACAGGGGATGAGGGGAGGGACAGGGGATGAGGAGGAGGGACAGGGGATGAGGAACAGAGGATGAGGGGAGGGACAGGGGATGAGGAGGAGGGACAGGGGATGAGGAGGAGTGACAGAGGATGAGGAACAGACGATGAGGGGAGGGACGGGGAAGAGGAGGAGGGACAGAGGATGAGGGGAGGGACAGGGGATGAGGAAGGGGACAGGGGATGAGGAGGAGGGA